GGGTTAACGTCCTACTGTTCTAATGAAGACGGGCATACGCCATACAGTGTGCTACGGTCTACTCTTATATCGTATTCCAACTGTTGGGGGATCTTTTTCATACCACCCCAACGACTAGACAGCTGCCCTTGTCAGGCCCTCCGACTTGCATCAGTGACAAGGGGGAACCACGCCGGAAATTTGGATGAACTTTCGCGGCCAATGCAGGGATCGAACACCCGACCTCAAGGCTAGCGAGCAAACGTCTTACCCACTTAGCCACGTGACCCCATGACAGACGAGTGAAGAATGGTGACATAATTAATGGGCTTTTAATTTATTGGGACTGTGCTTGAGGGGACTTTGTCTCACGAGGGTACTTACCTGATATCGCTCGAGGAAGGGGGAGGGGGGCTACGACATACCCCACAAAATTATAAAATATTTTGGCAGATGTGTGAAACCGTCTACATGTAAATATATTTTTAGTGTGATACATGTATTTGCCAATGATGGTATCAATCACTGGCAGAAAGGTCATACGCAATGCAATGTGCTGTGATGGAACTTTGGCCCGGATACGGTATTTCCAGTTGAATTGAAATCGACATTTACGTGCAAGCCAACACGTACTCTTATTTCGAATTTCAACTGTCGAGTGATATTTTACGTGCACGCCCAAGTGTACAAGGGACCCTGGGTTAATAATCACATCCAAACGACTATACGTTGTCCCTGTTCAAGCCCTCCGTCCTATACAACTGAACAAAGGGGGAACCACGCTGGAAAACCCCGATGAACTTTCTCGGACACGGAAAGAGCATACATCTTACTTATAAGCCACCGAAGCTCTAAGGATATCGGCCATTGTTCCATAGACCTATCATAGCAGATGCCGCACTGATTTAAACTTTATCAAAATTCTCAAAATTTATTATTCGGAACTGAAGACAGAAACAATTCTTAAGACATTTTTTCTCTAGTACATAACTCCCTCGACATTCCCCAACGATTTTGAAAATTCCGTATGTAAATGTATGAAATATAAATCTACCGATTGTGGTTTGTACATATCGTGTATAAAGTGTATATGGCCATCTTATAATTAAATCGTTCCTCTACTTTACTTTACTTTTCAATATATATTAATGTTTGTATGGAGAGGGGGTCTATAGGCTATCCAGTTTATGTGAATAAATATTGACTTACACAATTTCAGTGTGGGGGGTTGGATGACTGAATGGTTAGCCTGCGCGCGCTGTATTATAAAGTCTGTCATTGAGTCGACTGGCGTGGTTTCGAATGCCCGGTTGCACGTGACAAGGAGTAGGGTCGCCTGTCCAGCCTCGTGGGTTTTCTCCGGGTCCTCCGGTTTCCCCCCACTGCGAAAGATCCCTTTGCGCAAGCGAATTATTGAAATAAAATTAAACCATGTTAGTCCCGAAATGACCTAGTTTGTGTCGAGTTGACGTTAAACCCCATTTCTCTCTCTCTCTCTCTCTCTCAATTTCATTGATTTCCACATAAACTGGAATAATGAGTAATATCACTTAATTTAAGACAATCCAATAAGTTTATGATTTAAATCCATGGTGTATTCTGGGTTTAAACCATGGTTTGTCGAAGACGTTAAAAACCATGGTTGACGACTGTACTAGTATCTGACGGTTTAGAAAATTCGTTTTCCCTGTTAAGACCATGGTATTGTTTTGTAAGGGAAAATTTGATATAATAAATATTTGATAGTTTATGTACAATTCAAATCACAAGTTATCTATCCTTTCCACATCAATATTATTTTCGCGAAAATAAATTATGACGTAATTTTAGTGAAAATGAATTATGACGTAATTTTAGTGAAAATGAATTATGACGTAATTTTAGTGAAAATAAATTATGACGTAATTTTAGTGAAAATAGATTATGGCGTATTTTTAGTAAAAATAAATTATGGCGTAATTTTAGTAACAATAAATTATGACGTAATTATCGAGCAAACAAATATAATGGGGTTTGACATCCCATTTTCTGCACCGGTCAGGATAAACAAGATAGGCATACACCATACAGTGTGCTATGATAGAAAGGGGTGTTTGCGCCCACTCTTATTCTATTTCAAACTGCCAATGGTTCTTTAACATAGCGGGTGTTAAACCTCATTTCATGTTATTCCACAAGAATTCCCCGAACAAGAAGATGGATGTCACGGTGGAGTGGTCCCCCTTTAATTGAGATAAACACATTCATCAATCGATATATCTACAAATAGTAATTGCTTAGTGCTTCTATTTATAACGATTCTCCTTCTCCCTTTCCTGCCCTTTTGCATATCAATTTGTCTATTTCATGTTCGTGATAAAGTTCCTATCGTATATGTTCTGTTGTCTGTAGTGTTACAATTGGCGAACGCCATGTGGTGTGCTATAAGGAACATATGGTCCGGACAGTGGCGTTCCGGTCTACTTGTCTTCTAATTGCAATTGCAAAAGGGTCTTTCACGTACACTCCTACGTCTACAGAGAGCCTCTGGTTTTTCGTCCTATGCGAATGACTAGACGGTGTTTCATGCTCCCGACTAGCTATGACAACCCACCACAAGACAAGAGCATCCCCCCAAATTGTATGGACAATATTTATTGTAACCTAAAATGGAAATTTCTTGGATTCTGGCTGATCGACAAGTGGCGTAGAATGGGAATAACACTTCTCTCAATTTCCATCTCGACTCACTGTGAATGAATATTTCCTGGGTATGTTTAACTGTCAGAAAACTCATTGTTATATACCTTCCGACATGTGGGGAAACTGGAAACTAACATCTAATAAGGAGCTGGGTCTCAATACACAAGGTCATAATTATACCACATATTATCGTGTGGCACTAGCTGACCGATGTGAATTCCATTTAAGAAACGGCCATGATGTACATAGGTCATATGTAATTTGTCAATAACATGCTCTTTGTCACACAGTATTCATTAACCAAGTTGTCACAAAAATGTAAGAAATTAAACCCCATTTCATTTGACCCATTTGCAATTCGTTTGACCCATTCTGTCATTGTTAGACCAGGAACTCACTCCTCTTCTTTTTGGGGGCTGCGTTCTTCGAAAAGGCCCAAGACTCAACCAATTCAAGAATGATCGACACTGAAACCCTTGTATTGAATATACAATAACTAAAACAACAATCTAAAAAATGATGGGGATATTTTACTATAAAAGCAGATAAATCAGAACAAATATAAGTAAAATATAAAAAAATGAAATGCTGAGAATTTTGATGTACCACAATGAATACAAACACTAAATGACACAATTTGCACCTACAGTTCTAATTGAAAAAGGTTTATAGACAACATTGATAGGGTTGCTAGTAAAAACCATGACGTTACCAACTCACTAACTCCTGAAATGACAAGAAACAGGAATAAAACGAATTATAAATAAAATATGGATTTAACATCCAGTCTTATACCTCTAAAAAACGCCAGGTGTTAACAGATATAAAATATTTTAAACACAATAATTCAGGTGAGACAAGAAATGAAACAGGTTTCAACGCCCTTATTGTATACCTCAGCCGGGATTAAAGGAATGAAATGAAATAGGGTTTAACATCCTACTGTTCTGCTCCTAGTGTCCTAGAGTGGCCTAGAGTGCCACACTTCGACTTCTAGCTGGCCGGTCACCTCTGGCTTGCGGCTGTGGTTTCATACCTGGTGTGAGCGTATGTGGCTTGGAGATAGGGGCGCCTTCTCAACCTCGTGGGTTTACTCCGGGTCCCCCGGTCCCCCTCACAGGAAACACCACTGCACGTGTACTAAGATAATAAAACTAAAAAATACGACTTGTCTGCGATATCACCGTGGGTGGAAGCGGACGTTAAACACTAAGAACAACAACGCCAGTACGATACACAATAGTGTGACAGGGCCATTACTGACGTCAACTGAATGTCTACACGAGAGTGATCGTATGTTACAATAATTTCTACACTAGACTAGCTAGCGATAAAACCTCCAGAAAATGGTTCACGAATTTCGCCCAGAGAGCGGGGTTGTTGCTAAATATCAAGATTGGTTTTACAAGCACCGTAATGTTGGGGTTTTTTTCATTCCACCTGAAAGACTTCACAAACTGAAATTGTTAGCCACGCAGGTTAACCCAATAAAACTAAATGACGAGTTTAAAGTATGTAGAGGATTCTCTCGGCTCAGATCGTGATTAGTACCCAAGCCATTTTAGTCGTTAGCCCAGTGCTCTGAACGTTCGACTACCAGTACCCCAAACACAGTTCTATGGATAACAATCACTATATTATAAGTGACAGTATTAGTTCTTTAATCAAGTTCTGGATGACAGACTAGTTTAACATCTTAAAATACTTTTATTCTCTGCTTCTTCGAACATATTATATACAAAACTTAAAGACGCCATAACTAACTTGTATTGAGGGAGTCCTGTCCTAGCTTGGCACAAATGTGCCAACTCTCGGGCGCTCTTCCTCGTTCCGTCTCGTGTCGAGCATAGGCGCCCATGGCCTCCGCTCTCGTGTCCTGTCCGGACCTCTCTGAGTTTTCGTTTGTTAATCTGGGTTTATAAACCATTTCAGACAAAGGAATCTTATTAGACATCTGGCTAATGTATCATATCAAGTTTAACATTCGATACATGCTAATCAGACAAAGAGAGTTTAAATAAAACATGCCAACAAGTTAACGTTTACATAATCATTACATAATCACATAGACCAAGGACTCCAGGCATGTCGATAACGAACAGGTGTCAAGTTGGCAGGAGGCGTCTTTAACATCAGATAATCTGATTATGTAACATATATACACACGACGTTTCGACAAGATTTCACTGGCATGAAATATAGTGATTGCTATCCATAGAACTGTGTTGTGTAATATTATGTTCAGTCGCTAAAAGCCATTCAAAGATTATACCAGTACCCCCATGCACTAGAAAAAACTCACCATTGAAACAGTTACTGTAATTTCTCGATATCACTTCCTCGTCGTAGCTACTGAAACCCACTTGACAGCCTTTATCCCTTAAACATTTAAAATACGGTTCCCTTTCACTGAAATATAAATATCAAAATTTATAAACGAATTCTAACCACATTCTTCAACCATAATGGTATTTTCAGTATAAGATCACTGCAGAGGCCATCGGGGATGACCCTAATTTGACGTCTGCAGGGGCGGACCAAGAGGATTGGGGTGCCTCCTATACAGCTACATAAGACAAATTTACGTCAATCGGGGTGTTGGATTTCTCTCTTTAAAAACCTCAGTGTGTATGATGGCATCATGCATTGTCAACTGTCACATTTCCATAACAGGAACCTGGCAAACCCTCTTTCTGCAAAGATTCCTGGATCCGCCCATCATTCTGGTCCATTTGCCAGGGTAAAGGTCATTTTTCCGAACACAACGGAAATATGAAAAAAGATAAGAATTATATGAAATGGTTAACCTGCATGTTGTAGCTGATTCAACCATGACATTAGATAATAAACAGGTTGATGTAGCTTCCGTACAACTAGCTTCATCGGCTTTCATCCTTTCAGTTACAGCTAAAATACATAAACATATCCAACAATAAAGAACAAATAACAACTAGCCTCATCTACGAAAGCTCAGAAGGCTCATTCCAAATTCATGTCGTATCAATCTATGACCATAACTTTGGCAGTAATCATCGGAAATCGTTAAAAATCAATAGACTTTTTCTTTCATGACCTTAAACACTGTGTATAAATCTAAAGTCAATCGGCTATTCACTTTTGCCTCCAGAGCGTTCACAAGATTGTTCAAAGTGACCAAGGGCCATAACTCTGGCAGTAATTATCGGAAATCGCTGAAAATCAATATAATAGGATTCTTCGTCTCATGACCTTAAACACTGTTTATAAATATAAAGTCAATCGGATATTAACTTTAGCCTCTAGAGCGCCCACAAGTAATTGTGGCGAAGGACGGACGGGCGACAATATACGACCACATTATACGATCGCATTTGGAATTTGGAATTTCGCATTTGGAATTTGGAATTGCGCATTTGGAGTTTCGCATTTGGAATTTGGAATGAGTCTTCTGGCTTTCGTAGGCCCAGGCATCAATTAGGTAAACTAGCACTAATTTGTTGTTTAAAATTACAATTTATTTAAATTCAAATTTTTTAATTGGGGGGGGGGGGGCTGCCAATTTGCTATTTTATTGGTAAGACATGAATTTGGAATTTCGAATTTGAAATTTGGAATGAACCTTCTGGGCTTTCGTACTCATCTACTTTTATCCCTTCAGTTACAGTTGGAATACATAAATAATACTCGTCCAAAAAAGAAACGCAATGTGACTTTCGTCGTCGGTATACCCTCGCTCTACCATCGCCTCGTTACAACAGGTACCGTGACACGCCGCTGAACCAAACTGTTCGCTAGTGTTGCTGTGGCCATACCCTCTGTGTCTAAACCCATGAAGTCGGATTTCACGGTGTCGGCGTATTTCAAAACACCCGGTTTCACGTATCCGTTTACGGACTGCCTGGTCTGAGATTTTACGCCGCCCAGGTATTGCTGCTGCAGTAGGGGGTCACGTTTTTTGGTGCAATTAAGCGAAAACAAATTTCGGCAAAAAGTATGACCAGTCACAAATAGTGACCCTACATTTAAAACCAATAATGTATTTCATTGATCCTTACATAATGACATTAAAAACAAGCAAGATTTTTGGAAACAAGGACCACGTTCAAATAAAAAATGATGAAAAATGGGCTGTGCGTTTCTTTTTTTGAAGAGTATCAACAATCATTTACAACAACAACTCGCTTCATCTCTGTTCATTCCTCCAATCACAGCTCAAATAAATAAATATATGTACACTCAACAATAAGGAACATTGTTTAACAACTAATAGATATATACAAATACATTCAACAATAAAGAACATTCTCTAACAACTAAAATATATAAATACATCCAAGAATTAAGAACAACTAAAATATAATTACATGTACATTCTTCGACAAGAACGAAATGAAATGACTGAAATGAGGTTGGACGTCCTAGTACTACTTTTCTTTCCTGACTAGGCTAATGAAAACGGGTTCAACAATAACACGTGTGCTAGGCCCTACCTGACAAGGGAAGTGGGATGGGGGGAACAACCCGCTGGAAAATCACATGGAACTCCCTCGGCCTTTATCGGACTGGATCCTTCTCACAAAGCCAGAGTAGCTCCCGATTGTAAATAGACCTGCAAATTCGAGCAAGGTCGATCATTTATACCAAATGCATTACCACATACGTCATTTGTAATGCAATATTCTTTGTCCCGTTTGATACCAAAAGCAGGTTCCGCCACTTCAAACATAGTATCTTACATCTCGATCAACCACTATCTTTATCTAACCTAATTATCATTTAATAGAGGTTTAGAAGAAAATATTACATTTCTTTAAAGTTAACACAAAAATTCGACACAAGATAAAATGAAGTAAAAAGAAATAAAATGTCAATAGCAGTAATCAAGAAACTTTTATATTTTTTTAAAAAGCAATTAGATTGACATTCTGACTAATGCACTGAGCTTTTTGTGAAACGAATTGAAAAGGGGTTTTACGTCATACTGTTCTGCTATACGCCATACAGTGTTTTCCGCTCCACCCAAACGACTAGACATTTGTCCTTGTCCGGCCTTCGTCCTGCACCACTGAAAAGGGGAACCACGCCGGAAAAGCCAACACAGGGATCGAACACGATCATAGAAATTTTCGAGAAAGCATAATCTAATTCGTTGAGAGATTCTGGATATAACATAGACCCAAACGCTTCAATCTCTCCCGATTCCTGCAAAATAATCAATTTAGCGTTTGTTCTACCAATTAGGGATGGCCGTGAGGGATGGTAAAATTATGTTGTGGTTTCGATCCAACATCGGCCTCGTATCCACGACCTCCAGGATAGCAAACCAGTGTCTTACTCACGTATCCGCCGTCGGTTCCCGAGATTTTTGATTATTTGTATCATGAGAAATCTTTAGCGAGAATTCAGCAGCCGATCGAGTGTTGCGTTCAAGGTTCAGTTGACATATCGGGTAAAATATAATGTGTTTGTGTCTACTTCCGGGACCCACGCGACAGGGAGTTTAAACAAGAAATTAGGGTATTTGTGAATCAGTTAAGTTTAGACAGGAGTGGAATATTCTGTGTTTAAAACATAATTTCGAGGAGTTTGACCTTTGAAATCTAGATCTGGATTCAAAGATTTGATCTTAAAGCAAACAGACTTTCAGTCCATAGCAATAAAAAATGTTATCTTATTAATGGAGCTTACCCTCTATTCTTTGGAGCCTAAAATGGACCAAAAGAAAAACAGATGTTAAAGGGGCATTATGTAAGATTAGATAAAGCGCTGACAGTTTTCGCCATAATCGTTTAAAAATAGATAAAGAAAAAGGAATATGTTGAAAAATACAGTCAAATATTTCACTCTTAGCGAGTTACCGCCGTTACAAGACCAGTGTTGCCTCGATTGTCATTGCAACCGTTGTTATGATAATAAACAAAGTCTCGACTATCCATTTTTACGTTAAATCATATATAAATCTGTTGAAAATCTAGAGTATCCGATAGCACCGAGAGTTGATAGCGGTCTTGGTGTGTAATAATGTCTAATTAATAATTTATATAACATTTATGGCATAAAGAAAGACCTGTCAGATTTGGATCTTGCATAATGCCTGTTTAATGTAGTATTAATGGCTAGAAACTAATTTATAGTCATTTTGTCAAAAATGTTTGTAGCAATTTCTAACCACCGTTACAAATGGCGCTCGCTATTATAGAGAACACGACGCCACAGACTGGTTTGATTTCGTGACGGTCAATTATTTTCAAACATTTACGGCGTGGATCCCCTTATCAGTCGTGCAGGACAGGGGGCCTTGTAAGGGACAGCTTATAGTAGTCGTTCTGATGGGACGAAAACCCGAGATCCAGTGTACAAATAGGCCTGCACGTAAATATCCTTTGACGGTTGGAATTCAGATTACAGAGGGCCGTAAAGCCGCTGCCTTGGTAAAATTCTGCTCATATCTCACTGTATGGCATATGCCCGTTTTCATTAGCCCAGTCGGAGCAGAAGAGTGGGACGTTAAGCCCCATTTGGGAAATTTCCCCCCCCCCCAGTTTGATATCAACATTAATCGAAAAGGAATCGCCAGGGATCTGAAAATCGCCTGTCTACATATTATTACAGCCTACTTTCCTTTATTTACGTCACTTCCCAATTTTTCAATTGTTTGTACAGATCAACCATAGCAAATATCTCTGTGGGGTTTTACATAGGCTAAGCCTGTTCCCCAATCGAATTCAGACATCCTGAATAAAAATATTGTTTATAAAAAAAAAAATAAAAAAAAAACCCTGATGGGGTTGGTGGATAGATTCTAAAGCCTGGTCTATTTAATATACGAGCCTCCTTGCACTCATCTTAGTAGGATGTCGATGGATATCATATTTTGAATGTGTTGAACTACAAGACCAAACGGTTTAACGTGTGCGCTTTGTACCTTAATGCCGGGGATCACGTGGCTAAGTGGGTAAGGCGCTCTCTCGCTAGCCTGGAGGTCGGGTGTTCGATCCCTGCATTGGCCGAGAAAGTTCATCTCGATTTTCCGGCGTGGTTTCCCCTTGTCAGTGATGCAGAACGGAGGGCCTGACAAGGACAGCTGCCTAGTCGTTCGGATGGGATGAAAAACCGAGGTCCCGTGTACACATTGGCGTGCACGTAAAAGATCCCTTGGCAGTTGGAATTCGATATAAGAGTAGGCCGTAGCGCCGCTGCCCGGGCAAAATTTCCCTCATAGCACACTGTATGGCGTATGCCCGTCTTCAATTAGCCCAGGTTAGGTGCAGAAGAGTAGGACGTTAAACCCCATTTCATTTCATTTCATTTGTACCTTAATGCCAGTCTTTGAGGCAAGTGACGTGGTTTGGATTTCCAGCTTGTTCGTGACAAGGAGTAGAATAGTTTGTCCAACCTCGTGGGTCCCCTTACGCACAAATGAATTATTGAAATAAAATGTAACCATATGATGGTTCCGAAATGACAAAGTTTTTTAGTCGAATGACCGTGGTTTTGATTCCCAGCTTGTACGTGACAAGGAGTAGGATCGCCTTGGATAATGTCTATGCGGTATCCACCCCCTCCCCCAAGAAGACACAAACAGGTTAACTTTATCAACAATTCCTTGACGACGACCATTTCATTTCAGATATCTTAAGAGATACTCACCCAATAGAACAATCACGGTCAGAAGAAAATTCATTTTAATTCTAGCCAGAGGTAGACGCTGTTGGATAATTACTATATATATATATATACGGTATTTATGTGATCACGTGAACAGTAATAGCTATAATGCAAGTTATCAAATTGGACTAGTGGCTTCATGCATTGATGTCTTTGATGTTACAGGAACCAATTAGATTTGAGAGAATATGCGATTTAATAAAGATTAGCAGTAATTGTTTTGATGGAGAATACAGATGGCCTTTAACTGGCTTTGAGTTAAAGGCACACTTTACAAACTCGATCTGTTTGTATGAGATCGGGATTTTATGTAAAGGCCAACTTCACAAACGCACTGTGCATCAGATCGTGGATTTTATGCTAAGTATGGTCACCATGGTTAAGTGGGTAAGGCGCTGGCCTCCTAGCCTGCAAGTCGGATGTTCGATCCCTGCATTGGCCGAGAAAGTTCATCCTGATTTTCCGGCGTGGTTCCCCATTGTCAGTGAAGCCAGACGGAGGGACTAACAAGGACAGCTGTCTAGTCGTTCAGATGGTACGAAAAACCGAGGTCTCGTGTACTCATTGGCATGCATGTAAAAGATCCCGTGACAGTTGGAATTCGATATAAGAGTAGACCGTAGTGCCGCTGTCCGGGCGTACGCCCGTCTTCATTAGCCCAGTTAAGAGCAGAGCAGTAGGACTTTAAACCCCATTTCATTCCATATCATTTCTTTTTTATAAAACGTTTATAGATAGGAAGTAAAGCCTGTCAAGTGAGTATGTATGATTCATTGTCTATTAATTGTAGCGACGCCAAAATGGGGTTCTGGAGGCTTTTATACAATAAACACATATTCAGCCCACCCTCACCACCCCCGGTTCTGCCGGTTCTGGATTCTACATTCAAATATGTGAAGGAGTGACGTCGTAGCGCGTTTGACGTATTATAGCCGGTGGTCCAGTATGTGTAGATTTTCGCGCTAAAATCCACTCGTTGACCTGGGATTGAAAGATGGCACAATAAATAAATTCAATAAATCAATCACCCATGAATTTGTCTTAATTGTTCATCTTGGTCGTCATGTAAATATTTGTTGGTTGAAGTTGAAATATATCGATCTGTAGGCATTACTTAAAGAAACCATTCAGTGATTTTTTTAACGTGTTTTTTTTTACTCAGTAATCTGTGAATAATTTATAATCAGGTGTCGTTCTAGTGAGAATCCAAAGAGATTGAATACTCATAAGACCTGAACACATTCATTTCTGGAATAGTTTTAGTTTTATCGGATATTTAATAAAACGGGGAGGTTACCTAGGGGGTCACGGTGATTTTCGCAGCCCGACGCCCCTTGTCAATGGTGCAGGACAGAGAGGTTGACAAGGGACAACGTATAGTCGTTCGAATAGGACTAAAACCGAGGTCCAGTGTACACATTGGAGTGCACGTAAAAGATTCTTTGGCAGATGGACATGGATATAAGAGTCCAGTCGGAGCAGAACAATAGAACATTAACCCTCATTTCATTTCGTTTTTCATTTCATTTCATTTTTCCCAGCCCTGTTTCCCATTGTCGGTGGTGCAGTCTTCATTAACTCGGTTGTTTCAAAAAATACAATTTCCGTTTATTACTATAGAATGCTTTAGTCTTTAAGTGTGCGTGTGTGTATGTGTGTTTGGTGGTGGGGGTGGGGGTGTTCTAGTGGTTTAAGGAGTGCGCGTAAAATCGCCTGTCCAACTTCGTGGGTTTTCTCATGATCCTCCGGTTTCCTCCCACTGGTAAAAAACCCGTACGCGTTAGTCTTTAATCCGAGTTAAAACAGCACTCAGCGATGAGAGAGAGAGAGAGAGAGAGAGAGAGAGAGGGAGAGAGGTTTAACGTCAACTTGGGACTAACACATGTTTCAATTTTAATTCAATATTTCGCTTGCGCGTAGAGGTCTTTAGCAGTGGGAGGAAACCGGAGGACCCGGCGAAAACCAACGAGGATGGACAGGCGACCCTACTCCTTGTCACGTACAACCGGGAAATCGAAACCACGCCAGTTGACTTAATGACTGGCCTTATGAAACAGCGCGCACGTGCTAAACATTCGCCCCTCCCTGCTCGGAAATAAGGAGTAATCGTATTCCATTGAATTGCGTTGGGTGTATTTGTTTGATTTAAATGAAATCGAAAATATCATATAGCATAATATGGGCTGTGGTTACACACCTAATGACCTATATAAAAATCAATTATTTTTACTCTGGCACTCCGCATTTCCTTGACAATATTTATCGTTTACTTTGAATCTATTGATGGTTGTATTCACTGTCATGGTCACCGATAAACGTCCCTTGTGATTGGTTGAAAATAAGGCTCACTCTTCGTTATGACATATATTGAAAACTTTCGTCTATTCTTGAATTAAACCACGCGCTTAGAATAGGTCACAATAAAACAATATAGATATATATTTAAGTAGAAATATTTGTCATTCTCAATCAAGAAAACACCAAAATGAAAGTGGGTCTTGTTTTAATAGTTTTTCTAGGTAAGTCTGTATTTTCATTTTTCATTGAATAACTGAAACCGGCTGATTTACGGTCAAAGTATAGGCTATCGGTACTTCATGTAAAATTTAACTAATTAACCTGACAAATTAGTTCCAACCTCGTGGGTTTTTTGACAGCTAAAAACCACAACGCACAAGCGAATTATGGAAATATACAAGCTAAAAAAAAGGCGATTTTTCGTACAATCAGCGGTCATAATCCAGTAAGGTCCGACATGCTCAAGCATCGAAAGGAACCCAGATAGTTGGGATATAAACATATATTTTAAGTTTCATCAAAATAAGATAAAAATTGTGACCTCTAGAGCGTCCACAACCTTAGTATTACATACTTTTACACTATTTGCCTACGTGGAGCAGCCATTTTGTCGGGCAATGTCGGTCCTATTTTCACGAAATTCGAATTCAACTGCCATTATGTTTTAACGGTGATAGATTTCAACGGTTTTTAAAATCAGATAAAAAAAATGTGACCTCTACAGTGTCCACAAGCTAAAAACGCGATTTGTCGTACAGTTAGGGGTCATAACCTAGGCAGTTTGGTGAATATCGAAAATAGCCGATATATTTGGGTTATAAACACAGATTTTAAGTTTCATCAAAATCGCATAAAAATAGTGACCTCTTGAGTTTTTACAAGCTAAAACCGTGATTTGTCGTACAATAAGGGCCATAATCCATTAACTTACCGTCGGATACATGCAAATATCGAAAGGAACAGATATCTTTAGAGATGGACCTTTATCTCAAGATTCGTAAAAATCGGATGCAAACTGTGACCTGTAGACTGTCAACAAACAAACTGTGAACGGCGTTCGAACGTACAGGGGCGACGACAATCCCATATGAAAATGTGGGCCTATAAAAAACCAAGTTCTTTAATACAAGAATTTATACACGTAGCCTCGGGTTTCCGTCTCATCCGATCGACTAGACGCTGATTCTTACCAGACCTCCGTTGTTTGCCCACACCAATATCTCCTGATTAACGATCCAGCACCGTACACACTGAGCAGGACCGGATTAAGATCCACAGAGGCGCTAAGCTCTTTAAAGATTTTGGTGCCCGCGTATAAATATAATTTATAAATATAAACAATAATAAACCACAAACAACCATCAAGCACGTGATTATAGTTTTTCTGGGATTTTTTACACGTCATTATTAATTTCGCCAAAACATGTTACATTATGAAAAGACAAAAAGAACGAAAAACTAATGGAAAGTGCTTAACTAATTATTTTTAAGTCAAATATTTTAAATTTGGTATGTAACAAAGCAGACATTCATTCTGTGATGCCTCCATTATTATGATGCCCAAAACTCGTGATTATTTTGCTTAATAGTTACTCCACCACCATCGTTACCGATCAAATGCTGATCTGATATGATCATTCGTGACTTCGCTATAGAAAATTGAACCAGCCAGTAATGCATAGAAATGCATTGTCAGCGCCAACCGGGTTATATTCGACCGTTTCGTGATATAAAACTAACTACATACACAATTAAAAGTTATGCTATAACATATTGGTAACAAATCAAACTTATGTTCACATAAGTAATACTGTTGAAGGAATGTGGCTAATAGCCATGTTCTTCTATCCCTGGCTTATATACATACATATAAACACAGGTACTTATACGAAGTATGAATAATTTATTAAAATATGAATTGATTAATGTAAAACAAATGCTGCATTTAGGTGATAGCCAACCACTCTAATACAAGGGTTACAAAGCACTAAATATTTTTTTAAAAATATGAATATTTCAGTAATTACAACACTTTAACAATCAGAGGTATCCTTGAAACTATACATAGTGTAAATATTTTGTGGAAGCAAGTTGTTTTAACTTTACATAATTTCCTGACAAAATGAGGTGGAAAAGGCGAGTTATGACATAATTCACAGCATAAAAATAGTCTGAAAAGGATATTAATTAATATTTTATTCCTCTTTAAGTGCCACATATTAAAAGATCACCACAAATAATAGATTTACATCCAAAGTGTAAAATATTAAGCTGTAAAATTCACATCTGCAACATATCCATTTTAGGGTGTGGACTCAATTGGAAGAAATGTCATAGGATTACATGTTTGGTCATAAAAAAAGTCTTAGAAATCCTTGAAATCTTAAATGTAGCTATTTGGTGGTTTATAATTCAAGCACAAAATTCAATTACTGCTAATTTGGAGTCAATATATGTTCAATTGAATATCCAAATATCATGTCCAAGAAAAAGACTTGAGGACAGAGAAATTTCCCTGCAAACACATAGCTTTTACTTTCTCGAGAAGGGAAATGCAACAATTTCAGGTTTTAAAAGATTAAAATTGTGTTAAGCCAGAGGACCACAGCAGCAAAATGCAGTTCACTCATGTTTTCAAAATTCTAACAGTACATAATTAGTCTAGATTTCTATAGTAAAATGTTGATAGTTTTTCAATATCTGACAAACATGGATCCTATCCAAGTGCTTGCCAAGTTGTTTTACAATGGAAATAAAAACATGCAAGACATTTTGGTTACCGAGATGGTGAAATTTAATGGTGGTCTGCCTCCTTATGTAAAGCTGAGTTATCTTCCTTATGTATTGCAAAACCATATTCTAATAGCCAGGGACAGACTCCGGCTTCTCCTAGGTCGAGTCTTATGGCGGTATATTAGATTCAAAATTTCAATAACTCGCTTCCGCCTAGGGGTCTTTAGAGGTGGGAGGAAAACGGAGGGCCAGGAGAAAACCCACGGGGTTGGACAGGCGGGAACCTAGACCACAAGACCATCAACACACCCTGCCCCCGTTCTTTATGTTGAGAACAAGAAACGCTCCATTTCGATGTTTTAGTAAGTAATTTATCTGGTTCCAGGAATAGTTATGATGGTGGAGGGATTTTTGGACAATCTTCAATGTGTTGCAAGTACTGCGGCATGTGTAACTCAACTCGCGACCGCCACAACGGGCCAGACTTGCAGGTTAGTCTCAGTTATTATTATTAGTAGTAGTAGTATACAACATTTGTAAAGCGCACACCAGTCACTCAAGTGTTCAGTCAGAGGCGTTGTACACGCTACAAAAGGGTGTCAACTATTCTACGTATATGTTTTGTATAAAGAGTAAACCGGATAGGGCCCAACACTGATCCGTGCGGTACACCAAACAAGATGACACATTCATTTAATGAAACAGTATTGACAACAATCATGTTTCCTGCCCACAAGATAACATTTTAACAAATCGGACCAGAGCACACGGACTATGTGTGTGCGCGTATAAAGAATTTGTAGTCGACAGTCAAAGATTGCCACCGTCGATCTTTTAAGCATTATTTCGATTGAAGTCAAGATAAAATATTGAATTCTAACAATTGAATTTTCATTTGAAATAATAAGTCTGTTGACAATGGAACATAAATTTTGTGGGTCTAACATTTTAAATGCAGATATTTCACCGAGTTAATCAAACTCAATTAGCCAAATCATCTGTCTCTGTTTTAATTATTTAATCTATTGTAATGGAATTGTTCTATTTCAGTGATAGGCGGCCATATTTTCAGTGTTTAGCAAGCAATGGTTGTCAAGCTTCTACGGATTTTTACAAGGGACAAGTTACCGCCTTAAATTATACTGGTTGTGGTACGTAAGCCTTTATCAATTATTTATACGGACGGCAGTTGATATGGGCCCTCTAACAAATAAGGAAATTCCCCTTATTAAGGTACATAGTAACTTATCTATCAATGATATTCGGTTTGGAGATGACGTTTATTCTATCCACAATTATCTAATGCCTATATATTTAAAAATAAATCAATATTTCATTTCAGATGCGGCTGAATTGTTGGCGTCGGTATCATTATTAGTAGTGATGTTGGTAGCCTCAAGACTTGTCTCAAACTAAACTTTCAGTCAGCAACTATATTTTCACTTCTTTTAAACACTGCACATGATAAAGCGGGGGGGGGGGGTACTTAATTATTTTCTCTTATCCCGCCGTTACAAATATCCTTTATATTCCATATCGTGATTAAATACAACCCCCACCCCCCACCCCCCCAGCACCAAATTTAAAAGAGCAAAAAAGTTATTGCAGAGTACTGAGGTATATGTGATACAGTTAACTTTTCTAAAACAATATTTTACTCAGGGACTAGAGAAAAGGATTCATCAAATATAAACCAGTATTTTACCCAGGGACTGGGAGAAAGAATGTGTAAAGCAGTATTTTACCCAGGGACTGAGAGAAAGGCTAGATCTATGTAAAGCATCATTTTACTCAGGAATTAGAGCATAATAAACAATATTTTACTCAGGTACTAGGAAAATAATGATTCTATGTAAAACAGTCGTTTACTCAGGGACAGGGCGAAAGGCTGAAATTATATAAACACACATTACTCTAAGATTTGGAAGCAGACTGAATATAAACCACTTCAGTCTATAAAAAACCTATGCTGTTCTTACCTAAATTCAGCTTGGCAGCACGCCATCAAAATATCTTATTAATTAAATTCATAAAAGAATAAGGAGTGAAAAATAAAAGAGACTGTACGGTTAAAATCCAGCTTGACAGAAGGCCACTAAAATATTTTATTAATTAAATTGATCAAAAATAAGGGCAAGGAGATTGTAACTAAAAACACTGGACGCGGATTGTCTAATATCTTGAAACAGGTGTGTGAGAGCTCTACAGCCGCATGGCGACGTGAAAGGCCTGGTCCATAACTAAATTTAATAATTGGCGTATTATTGGTCCCTTTATATTGGAGTGTAAATTGTCGTCTATTCTTGTGTTGTGTCCCCATTTCATAAGACATCAGCGGACAAGAGAATAAAATTGTTGAAATAAAAATATTCCACATTTCCACATATAATGTCTATGTCCAGCCCTGTAGAAAGGCGAAATATTTATTGTTAAATATATAGCACAGAAACAAAAACTAACCTTGCCACGGCCTTGTATCAAATATTATATGATATACGTGTAAGCATATTTATATATTTTTAAGAAATAAAGATATATTCAACTTCATGTGGCTTACCAGGTTACTAGAAGGATGGGAGTGTTCGCTCATTGAGTTAGGCAATAGTTCGCTAACCTGGAGATCTCAACTTCATGTGGCTTACCAAGTAACTGGAGTGGGTGGGGGACGTCCGCTCATTGAGTAAGGCACTAGCTCGCTAACCAGGAGGCCTCGGGTTCCCTACTGGTGTTAACCGATAAAGTTTTGTCGCGATTTTCTTGGGTGGCTTCCCCTAGTCAGTGGTGTAAAACGGAGGGTCTGACAAGGAAAAGCTTCTAGTGGTTCAGATGCACGTAAAATAACTCTTGGCAGATGGAATTCAATTGCTGTCCGGGCAGAATTGCCCTCAGAACACACTGTATGGCTTATGCCTGTTTTCATTATCACGGTGGGGGCTGAAAAGTAGTGTAACAGAGTGATGTTGTTCGTTGTGTGATTGTTGTGATAGATTGTCTATTAACTCTCCCAGGTTTTCTCTGTTTTGACCTGTGATCGTCTATCGTATTTGATCTGGACTTCACGTTGATTTTACACGACTAACACAGTATATCTTCTAAGTAAACTTTATTACTGTTGAATTATTCGAGGTGGCTCCCAGTAGAATTACTTCGGTAGATAAGCTCCGTTTGCCTAAAGAAACGGGTACTACGTCTTGACACCTGAGAAGACAGACCAAAAATCAGCTCTCGGATGAAGAAGAGATCTTCACTTATATTGGTAGCCGCAGTGGAGATTATTTACCGAAGTAATTCTACTGGGAGTCACCTCGAATAATTAGTAAATACATAGTAAGTACATAAATAAAGTATGTAGAACCTTCCTACAGTAGGAAGCTTAACCCCATCTCATACATTATCGAACATACAAACACTGAACTTCATAGAACAAGACATTTTACGAATAGGTTAGCCGAAGTTGAAAACACGAATATTTCAAACAACAGATCTGCCTCCACTGAGTATGATACCAACTGACCCAGACAATCGAGTCTAACAATATCTCGAATAGTGATCATTGTGACAGGTTGTCAGCGTGTTGTACCAATGGTGCAGCTTGCGATCTTTGATTTCCCCGTTTACTGTAAAATGTTTTTAAAAAACCTTCGAATAATATTATTATCACGTCATATTTGGGGGTCACAGTGGCTAATTGTGTAAGTCGCTGGTTCGCTAGCCTGGAGGTCGTGTGTTCGATCCCTGCATTGGCCGAAAAAGTTCATCCAGATTTTCTGCCGTGGTTCCCCCTTGTCAGTGATGCAGGACCGATCCAGTCGTTCGGGTAGGAAGAAAAACCGAGGTTCCGTGTACACATTAGCATGCACGTAAAAGATCCTTGACAGTTGGGATTCGACATAAGAGTAGGCCGTAGTGTCGCTGTCTGGGCAAAATTAACCCATTTCGGAGCAGAACAGTAAGACGTTAAACTCAATTTCATTTCATGAAGTCATATTTGTGAAGTGGACTCGGTCTTAGTAGAAAGTACAATGATCCTAGATAACATCTATGTAGAATTTTTAGAGAAAATTAAAGGGAAGGGGACATGGTACAAAATTCTTGTTTCTCATCTTCAGAAAGTATACGCCCTTGGTGGGTGGGGTAAGTCAATTGGAACGGGGGTTGAATTAAGAAATAAAAGCTCAGTGTCTAGTGTGGTGTTTTGGTACATTCTAAGGTAAATTCTGATTATATTAAACCATAAATTTTAAACATCAGTCAAGGGACGAATTCCAAAATAAAATGTTATATCAAGTTATTTGTTTATTTCTGTAAAACTGTGTGACCTTATGATACAGCGAGCACGTGCTAACTATCCGGCATTCCAACTCTCTTTAAAAGAACAAGTATGGAAACAAATCATTCGGAATTGAAGCTCGCAAATCGGAATTAATGGGGCGCTGCTCATATCAAATATTATTAGGTCCTAGTAACGACACTTGTAGGTGAAGTACAGATTTGTTGCAATGAAAACATAACTTTAAAATCAAAATACAAATAAGAATTTATTTTAGTTTCAGAATACATATATCTATATTTATTGTAATGAAAATATAATTTTAAAATACATAGGAGAATTTATTTTAGTTTCAGAATACATATCTAGATTTATTGTAAATCAAAATATAATTTTAACATCAAAATACAAATTAAAAGCTATATTTGAGAATACTGCTATAGATTTGGTGTAATTAAAATAATATATCAGAATACAAAGTCATGTTTGCCCTTTGAAAAGAGCTAATTGGGTATAAGAAAATAAAACATATGGTCTAGGTACAGTGGTGGACAAACTTTTTAGGTGAAGGGCCAAACACAAAGTTTTGAAACAGCAAGGGCGAAACAAGGATTATGAAATGTCATTTTATTGAATAAAGTAATACGGAACAAAGCACTTTATTTTTAACACTATCCTTATCAGGCACATTGAAAAATGAAGTTAGTGGGAACAATGGTACTGAGATTTGTCAGACAAAATAGTTTTACAGTGCTTGTCAAAAGCATTTCAACAAATCAAACAATAACGTAAAATGAAAGTAGGCCCAAGTCAAGCGATGTCACTTAGGCGCTGCAAGCTATAAATAGATCTACAAAGATTATTGATCCTAAAGAGTTTTCGGGCCCAACAATAAGCAACTTCGATTTTTTACTTCAATAAAAGATACAATTACTCATAAATTTTCAGATGTAGTGGTAGGGTCTGGCGGGCGGGTGACAGGGTTTTGTGGGTCGTAGTTTGCCCACCACTGGTCTAGTATGATGTAGAAAGCATCTGGTAGATAGGTCAGTTGTTGAGTGTTGATATTATGTACGTCTGTCTTCTGTATTCACTGTAAATAAAACAACATTTAGTTTTAATTTGTTTTAATATTAGTCAACATTTACATATTCATAAACTATAAAATATTAGTAAACTTTAACAGATTAATATACTTTAAAAATATAAGTCAACTTTAACAGATTAATGTACCTTACTTTAAAATATTAGTCAACTTTAACAGATCAATGTACTTTAAACTATTAGTAATCCCGTGAATTCAAAACACAATATTCAATCATCAATCATTGTATGTACTATATAATAAAATAAATACAAAGCTCAATCATCAATATGTTACATCATCAATGTTTTTTTATATACTATACATATTAATATAATGTTACAGCTTCAGTTAACCTAATCTCTGCTTTATAAAACAAGACCAGTCGTCCATTGGACGTTCACATTAAGGATTTGGTTGAAATAGGGGGGCGGGGGGTAGACAGCTAGGTTGGATGGCCGAATGGTTAGCACGTGCGTGCTGTATCATACGGACTGTCATTGAGTCAACTGGCATGGTTTCGAATTACTGGTTGTACGTGACGAGCAGGGTCGCCTGTCCGACCTCGTGGGTTTTCTCCGGGACCTCCGGTTTCCTCCCACTGCTAAAGACCAATGCGCGCAAGTGAATTAATGAATTAAAATTAAACCATATGTTAGTCCCAAAATGACCTAGTTTGTGTCGAGTGGACGTTAAACCCCATTCTCTCTCTCTCTCCTGTTATTGAAATGATTATTCATGCTGAATTTAAACACAATCTGTTAATATTTGCAACAAGTGGAATATTTGCAAGCAAAATATATTAACAAAAACTTGGATGTAGCAATAGATACCGTCCTCATGCTAGAAGTATGACACGTTACAAGGGGATCCATTTAGAACTGTCGTCCGTGGGCGAGACGCAAAAAATGTTCGTGACACTACACCTACGGGGTGGGCATGCATCAAAATCAATAAGTACTGTCCTTAGTGTAGAGGCAATGGATGTTTCAAGATCATCAGTTCAGATTTGCGGCCATAAAATATCAACAAAAAGGTGGCGTGGCACAACCATTGGAGTCGGGCATGCACCAAATATAAATAGGTACAATCCTGTTATTAAAATCATTGGAACTAAATCTGTTACCAATTGAGAACTGTAGAGTATTTATAGACTTATCCTATTAACACAAATGTGGTAGTGGCACCTTGCGTAGGGGTTGGACATGCGCCATATTCAATAGTTGTCGTCCTTGGGGTACAAGAAATAAGTATGCCAAGATGATGAATTTAGAATTGTGACCTGTACGAGAAACAGACAATATTGGGTATGGCGCCGCTCTGGGAACCGAGCATGCACCAAAATGTATAGGTGTCGTAATTAGGGTGTATGTGTTCAGAATTGCAGCATGTAAGCCATGTATGTCACTGGAGATTGGGCATGCACGAAACACAATATGGATTATTCTTGGGTATAAAGAATAACTATACCAAGTTCTGAAACGGTCTCCCACTGCTAAAGACCCCTACACGCAAGTGAAGTATTGAAATCAAATTAAACCATATTATTATGTTGGTACCGAAATGACCTAGTTTTTGTCGCGTGGACGTTAAACACCATCTATCTCCCTCTCTCTCTTAGACGTTCCGAGAAGAATTGTGACCCGTAAGCGACCCCCTCCCCCACCCACACACATATGAAGATAAGATCGGGCTGATAACAATACACCACCATGTTGCAATGAGGTCGTATTAAAACAGTTCGATTAAATCTAATTGAATTTACCTTAGTTCCGAAGAGTAACGATTTCTATATGTCGTAACCTGAAACAGATACATGCATATATAATTCTTCTATTCGTTCGTCATGTTGGAACATTCGTCATAAGTATAATAGTATGTATCGTGCTGCGTTTGAAATCGTGGTTTTAATAGTGGTGATCCTACCAGGTTTTATCATATATTGAGGTCAGTCGTACCCAGAGGCGTAGCCGTGAAATATATATTGGCGGGGGGCTCGCAAATGAAATTATATAAAATGTTGAAAATCTGTGACACCGGAGCCGATGTAGCGCGATGGGGAGAGTGTGGGAGGGTTTGGGGGGGGGCCACACCACGAATTTTTTTAAAGTTTCAGTCTTCTGTAAACACTGTTTTGGCATATTTTACGGGGTAAAACTAAAACATCACACCAACATATTGGGATATGTACAGATTTTACAATGATAGAATCTTAACTAATCCTAATATTTGTTGTAAATAAATAGGAGGTCCAAGTATATTCAGACCACCACCCCCCTCCGAAAAACATGGGCGTCACACATGGTGGGAGGTCCAGGGGGAGGCCGCCCCCCCCCCCCCATGTATGACGCCCCTGATCGTACCGAAACGCATCCTAATGTATCTGCACATACCAGATCGCAAACTTAACCGCGGCAAACCTATCGTAACGCATCGCACGACAGTGGGAATATAGCAGTAACATTATGTTGACCTGAATATTGGAACGTCTGTCATCAGTGTACACCGCATAGATCAAACAATTTTCAATTCAACATATCTTTGAAAATACTGAACAGAATTGAACTAATATTGGGCTGATATTCCTATTTGAGAGTCATCTTTCACACCATTGTGATTCATCTAGCTTAAAATGGTAAATCTGGACTTTTAGCATTGTTATATTATTAGAAACAATTAATACATAAAACAATAAAATCAACATTTTATACCGATAACATTAATTCTAATGTCACTGAAAAAAACCTTTCAAAAATAGATATCTAAATAGTTTATCTATTATCGAGAAAACATTTTTAAAAACCATATCTAAATATGTTATTTTACTGTTGAGAAAACTTTTGGTGTTTAAAGTTATTGATCAGATGAATTAAATTGTGTATAAACAACAAAATTGATTTTATTTGAAAGAGAACAGCTTTGCCCGCCGAAAGTAAATGTCGTGACATTTCTCTGGGATTTCAAAATGGTCGAATAATATTAACTTTCTCTTTTGCTGAAATGTTCATGCTATTGATGACATCTTACAGAACAGCGTGTTTACATTCGATTTAGTATTTAGGTCTATTACATCTTACTCTGAGAGGTAACAACAAATGGCTGACTTCTAAACAAATTTCAATTTGTAAGATTATGTAACAAGAAAGATGTAGGCCATTCTCGTGCAAATTATTATTAATTAGGCCTGACCACAATATTACAATTACATATATTATTCTATATTCATTGTATAATATCACAATTATTTATATTATTTTAAATTATCTTGGATCTTCTTGATAATAATTACATGATGTAGTATGATGTATTAGTATATTCAATCCAGTATAATAAAATAATGACTTACCTCTGGTATTCCTCCTCTCTATAAAACAAACAAATATATAATATTTATTAACATCAAATATAAACATGATTAAAACACAGAATATAAAATGTTTTAATAGTGGTGATCCTACCAGGTTTTATCATATATTGAGGTCAGTCGTACCCAGAGGCGTAGCCGTGAAATATATATTGGCGGGGGGCTCGCAAATGAAATTATATAAAATGTTGAAAATCTGTGACACCGGAGCCGTTGTAGCGCGATGGGGAGAGTGTGGGAGGGTTTGGGGGGCCACACCACGAATTTTTTTAAAGTTTCAGTCTTCTGTAAACACTGTTTTGGCATATTTTACGGGGTAAAACTAAAACATCACACCAACATATTGGGATATGTACAGATTTTACAATGATAGAATCTTAACTAATCCTAATATTTGTTGTAAATAAATAGGAGGTCCAAGTATATTCAGACCACCACCCCCCTCCGAAAAACATGGGCGTCACACATGGTGGGAGGTCCAGGGGGAGGCCGCCCCCCCCCCCCCATGTATGACGCCCCTGATCCCACCTGAAACGCATCCTAATGTATCTGCACATTCCAGATCGCAAACTTAACCGCGGCAAACCTATCGTAACGCATCGCACGACAGTGGGAATATAGCAGTAACATTATGTTGACCTGAATATTCCTCCTCACTATAAAACAAACAAATATATAATATTTATTAACATCAAATATAAACATGATTAAAACACAGAATATAAAATATAAATAAATTATGATCAATAGTGATTAGGTTTTATTGTCTCTGTTCAGTATGATTAATTAAGAAATTAATAAATTAAACTATATATTATAGTTGGATGACTTACCTGATAATACCTTTATTTCTATAAAACAGAAAAATAATATATATATATATTAACGCCAACTATAAACATATATAATTAATATATATACATGCTAGAAATATTCTATAAGCATAAAAATAGGAGTAACTAAACGATGCGCCATTGACATTTCTCGATAAAATATGAAATTTACCAAGGCTAAATATGCTAATATGTACTTAGATTGATTATTTAACATTTAATTAAGAAAACAAAATCAAAATACCAATGTTAGATAATGTCCCGGTATGGAATCAATATCGGATTTCAAACATGATTTATCATTAAATTGTTGACAATAAATAGCAGCGGGCTTATATAGTTAGCAGCATAAATCGATGAAATTTTACATATCTTTGTAAATACCGAAAGGATATGAATCATTATTGGGTTATTATTTCTATTGTAGATTCATCTTTCACAATATTGTAGTTTGCAAGTGATTGAATTTATTTAAAATGGCGCATCGGGACATTTAGCATTGTTATATTAATAGAAACAATAACATCTACATTTTATACCGATAACAACTTTCATAACGTATACTTAAATAGTTTATCTATTATTGATAAAACATTTGTAAAAAAAGACATCTAAATAGTTATTTTACTATGAAAAAGAAGTTTGGTGTCTAAAGCTATTGAATGAATTAAATTGTATATATGTAAACAACAAAACTTATTTTGTTATTTAAGAGACAACAGCTTTTCCAATCGAAAGTCTTATGTTGTATAAAGACATTTTTATAGAATTTGAAAATAGTCGAATAATATTAACCTAAAATTTCGTAGCCCAACTTTCTCATTTCCTAAATTGTTCATGCTATTGATGACATAAAGCCCATGCAATGTCTACTAAACATGGATGACATGTTACAGAAAAGCGCGTTTGTATTGGATTTAGAAATATGTAGGTCTATATACAGCATCGTATACTATAGGATGTAACAACTAATGGCCATCTTAAAACTAAAATTAAATCAGGAAGATTGTCTAATAATAATGATGTAGTCTATTTGCATATTACCTTGCTTCTATGAATATGAACACTTTATTTAACTCCAATAGTAACCCGAAACACATATATAATTCCTTATTTCGTTCGTCATGTTGGAACATTCGTCATCAGTGTAATACTATGTTGACTCGTCCATTAGAACAACGTCCATGGTCAGTATGTTAACGGTATTATTGTAACGTTTGTCGCTAGTGTAACAGTCCATTAGAACAACGTCTATCGTTAGTATAATATTATGTAACATTTCCCACTAGCACGATTCATGCTACGATTGAAATCGTGGTTTTAATAGTGGCGATCGTATCAGGTCTTATCATATATTGAGGTCAGTCGCTGCAATCGAGCTGATCGTACCGAAACGTATCCGAATGTATCTGTGCGTACCAGATCGCGAACTTAATAGCGGCAATCCTGTCGTAACGCATCGCACGACACGGGGAACATTGCAGTAACAATATGTTGACCTGAATATTGGAACGTCAGATTTCAGTACGCGTTTCCGCTAGCATGGATCAAAACATTTTTAATTCAACATATCTTTGAAAATACTGAACAGAATTGAACAAGTATTGGACTGATATTCCTATTAGAGATTTATCTTTTACTGTAGTTTGCAAGTGATTCATCTAGCTTAAAATATAACCATTGTTATATTATTAGAAATAATTAATACATAAAACAATAACATCAACATTTTATACCGATAACATTAATTCTAATGTCACTGAAAAAACTTTCAAAAATATATATCTAAATAGTTTATCTATTATCGAGAAAAACATTTTTTAAAACTATATCTAAATGTTATTTTACTGTTGAGAAAACTTTTGGTGTTTTAAAGTTATTGATCAGATGAATTAAATTGTGTATAAACAACAAAATTGATTTTGTTATTTGAAAGAGAACAGCTTTGCCTGACGAAAGTAAATGTCGTGACATTTCTCTGGGATTTCAAAATGGTTGAATCAAGTTTAGTTATAATAAATCAGTTTAGTTACACCAAATTCGCGTTGTTAATGCAAAGTGTTATTAATTAGAACCGATCACATTTTTAACAGTTTATTTATCAGATTTCCTTAACCAATGTACATATCGTTATATTGAATTACACGTACAAAATTATGTAAAAATCCATTTTCTCTTTGTTCACATTGGATAATCTTCTGAACTTCACCGTCTATAGATATTTTCTCCACAATATTACAATTACATATATTATTCTATGTATAATATTACATATAGATATAGTATTTTAAGTTATCTTTGATCTTCGTGATAACATAAAACAAACAAATATATAATATTTATCAACATCAAATATAAACATGATTAAAACACAGAATATAAAATATAAATACATGATCAATAGTGATTAGGTTTTATTGTCTCTGTCCAGTATGATTAATTAATAAATTAGAACAAGTTATTCACTAAAGACCCCTACGCGCAAGTGAAGTATTGAAATAAAATTAAACCATATTATTATGTTGGTCCCGAAATGACCTAGTTTGTGTCGCGTGGACGTTAAACACCATTTCTCTCTATCTATCTCCCTCTCTCTCTTAGACGTTCCGCGAAGAATTGTGACCCGTAAGCGACCCCCTATTGATGACATCTTACAGAACAGCGTGTTTACATTCGATTTAGTATTTAGGTCTATTACATCTTACTCTGAGGGGTAACAACAAATGGCTGACTTCTAAACAAATTTCAATTTGTAAGATTATGTAACAAGAAAGATGTAGGCCATTCTCGTGCAAATTATTATTAATTAGGCCTGACCACATTTTTAACCATTTATTTATTAGATTTTCTTAACCAATAATAGTTAACAAAATGATCTAAAAATCCGTTTCCTCTTTGTTCACGTTGGATAATCTTCTGAACTTCACGCCAATGGGTAGCAGAATTTCAAGTTAGCTAGCAGAAAATAAACATAGAAATAATTGAAAAAACTTACCTCAGATTCACCAGTAGCCTATTCAAGAAAGAAATATAATATATGATTTTATTTATATACCAAAATATTCCAATGTATCGAGAAACAGGTTTTACGATATTGTAATAACAAAACGGTTGTCAAAACTAAACGTATATTAGTCGTTCGGATAGGACGAAAAGGAGAGATCCGGTGTACACATTTGCGTGCCTGTAACATATCCCTTAACAGTTGGAAGTAAGGCCATTTTCATTATAGCACACTGTATGGAGTTAGCCTGCCTTCATTAGCCCAGTCGGTCCAGAAAGGTAGAACGTTAAACCCCCTTTAATTTCAATTCTATATATATAAATATATATTCTAGTATGTCGGGTGAACAAGTGTGATTTTTAAAGTTGGTAACGTTGCCGTTATAAATCAAGTTTAGTTATAATAAATCAGTTTAGTTACACCAAATTCGCGTTGTTAATGCAAAGTATTATTAATTAGACCCGATCACATTTTTAACCGTTTATTTATCAGATTTCCTTAACCAATGTACACATCGTTATATTGAATTACACGTACAAAATTATGTAAAAATCCATTTTCTCTTCGTACACATTGGATAATCTTCTGAACTTCACCGTCTATAGATATTTTCTCCACAATATTACAATTACATATATTATTCTATATTCATTGTATAATATTACAATTATTTATATTATTTTAAATTATCTTGGATCTTCTTGATAATAATTACATGATGTAGTATGATGTATTAGTATATTCAATCCAGTATAATAATATAATGACTTACCTCTGGTATGCCTCCTCACTATAAAACAAACAAATATATAATATTTATTAACATCAAATATAAACAGATTAAAACACAGAATATAAAATATAAATAAATTATGATCAATAGTGATTAGGTTTTATTGTCTCTGTTCAGTATGATTAATTAAGAAATTAATAAATTAAACTATATATTATAGTTGGATGACTTACCTGATAATACCTTTATTTCTATAAAACAGAAAAATAATATATATATATATATTAACACCAACTATAAACATATATAATTAATATATATATACATGCTAGAAATATTTTATAAGCATGAAAATAGGAGTAACTAAACGATGCGCCATTGGCATTTGTCGATAAAATATGAAATTTACCAAGGCTAAATATGCTAATATGTACTTAGATTGATTATTTAACATTTAATTAAGAAAACAAAATCAAAATACCAATGTTAGATAATGTCCCGGTATGGAATCAATATCGGATTTCAAACATGATTTATCATTAAATTGTTGACAATAAATGGCAGCGGGCTTATATAGTTAGCAGCATAAATCGATGAAATTTTACATATCTTTGTAAATACTGAAAGGATATGAATCATTATTGGGTTATTATTTCTATTGTAGATTCATCTTTCACAATATTGTAGTTTGCAAGTGATTGAATTTATTTAAAATGGCGCATCGGGACATTTAGCATTGTTATATTAATAGAAACAATAACATCAACATTTTATACCGATAACAACTTTCATAACGTATACTTAAATAGTTTATCTATTATTGATAAAACATTTGTAAAAAAAGACATCTAAATAGTTATTTTACTATGAAAAAGACGTTTGGTGTCTAAAGCTATTGAATGAATTAAATTGTATATATGTAAACAACAAAACTTATTTTGTTATTTAAGTGACAACAGCTTTTCCAATCGAAAGTCTTATGTTGTATAAAGACATTTTTATAGAATTTGAAAATAGTCGAATAATATCAACCTAAAATTTCGTAGCCCAACTTTCTAATTTCCTAAATTGTTCATGCCATTGATGACATAAAGCCCATGCAATGTCTACTAAACATGGATGACATTTTACAGAAAAGCGCGTTTGTATTGGATTTAGAAATATGTAGGTCTATATACAGCATCGTATACTATAAGATGTAACAACTAATGGCCAGCTTAAAACTAAAATTAAATCAGGAAGATTGTCTAATAATAAAGATGTAGGCTATTTGCATATTACCTTGCTTCTATGAATATGAACACTTTATTTAACTCCAATAGTAACCCGAAACACATATATAATTCCTTATTTCGTTCGTCATGTTGGAACATTCGTCATCAGTGTAATACTATGTTGACTCGTCCATTAGAACAACGTCCATGGTCAGTATGTTAACTGTATTATTGTAACGTTTGTCGCTAGTGTAACAGTCCATTAGAATAACGTCTATCGTCAGTATAATATTATGTAACATTTCCCACTAGCACGATTCATGCTACGATTGAAATCGTGGTTTTAATAGTGGCGATCGTATCAGGTCTTATCATATATTGAGGTCAGTCGATGCAATCGAGCTGATCGTACCGAAACGTATCCGAATGTATCTGTGCGTACCAGATCGCGAACTTAATAGCGGCAATCCTGTCGTAACGCATCGCACGACACGGGGAACATTGCAGTAACAATATGTTGACCTGAATATTGGAACGTCAGATTTCAGTATGCGTTTCCGCTAGCATGGATCAAAACATTTTTAATTCAACATATCTTTGAAAATACTGAACAGAATTGAACAATTATTGGACTGATATTCCTATTAGAGATTTATCTTTTAGTGTAGTTTGCAAGTGATTCATCTAGCTTAAAATATAACCATTGTTATATTATTTTATACATAAAACAATAACATCAACATTTTATACCGATAATATTAATTCTAATGTCACTGAAAAAACTTTCAAAAAATAGATATCTAAATAGTTTATCTATTATCGAGAAAATATTTTTTAAAACTATATCTAAATATGTTATTTTACTGTTGAGAAAACTTTTGGTGTTTAAAGTTATTGAACAGATGAATTAAATTGTGTATAAACAACAAAATTGATTTTGTTATTTGAAAGAGAACAGCTTTGCCTGCCGAAAGTAAATGTCGTGACATTTCTCTGGGATTTCAAAATGGTCGAATAATATTAACTTTCTCTTTTGCTGAAATGTTCATGCTATTGATGACATCTTACAGAACAGCGTGTTTACATTCGATTTAGTATTACATCTTACTCTGAGGGGTAACAACAAATGACTGACTTCTAAACCAATTTCAATTTGTAAGATTATGTAACAAGAAAGATGTAGGCCATTCTCGTGCAAATTATTATTAATTAGGCCTGACCACATTTTTAACCATTTATTTATGAGATTTTCTTAAAGAATAATAGTTAACAAAATGATCTAAAAATCCGTTTCCTCTTTGTTCACATTGGATAATCTTCCGAACTCCACACCAATGGGTAGCAGAATTTCAATTTAGTTAGTAGAAAATAAATATAGAAATAAATGAAAAAAACTTACCTCAGATTCGCCAGTTTCCTATTCCAGAAAGAAATATAATATATAATTTTATTGATATACAAAAATATTCCAATGTATCGAGAAACAGGTTTTATAATATTGTAATAACATGTACGTTGGATAATCTTCCGAACTCCACGCCAATGGGTAGCAGAATGTCAATTTAATTAGCAGAAAATAAATATAGAAATAATTGAAAAAAACTTACTTCTGTTTCGCCAGTTTCCTATTCAAGAAAGAAATATATATAATTTTATTGATATACAAAAACATTTAAATGTATCGGGAAACAGGTTTTATAATATTGTAATAACAAAACGGTTGTCAAAACTAAACGTATATTAGTCGTTCGGATAGGACGAAAAGGAGAGGTCCGGTGTACACATTTGCGTGCCTGTAACATATCCCTTAACAGTTGGAAGTAAGGCCATTTTCATTATAGCACACTGTATGGAGTAAGCCTGCCTTCATTAACCCAGTCGGTCCAGAAAGGTAGAACGTTAAACCCCCTTTAATTTCAATTCTTATATATATATATATATTCTAGTATGTCGGGTGAACAAGTGTGATTTTTGAAGTTGGTAACATTGCCGTTATAAATCAAGTTTAGTTATAAAGTAGAAAGTAGAAAATAAAAAGCAAAAGAGAAAATTCTTATCCAAAATGGACATTTTCGTGTGGGAAACATAATATACCGCTCTTGCCTTTCAACCTAATACGTCCACCATTTCAACTTTAAGTCGTAAATATTCTACTTTCAACAACAGAATTTCTACTTTCAATAATCAACTTTTGACATTCGACTTTCAACTTCAGATTTTATACTCAAGATTTTCTGATCGAGATTTTCTCCATGCATATTACGGAAATAAATTTGATCACCTGACTATTTCTGCATACCATTAAAATACGGTAATTTCCCGTAAAAATAAACGATCCCATAGATACCGTATTTTAATTACATGCAGAAAATTTTGAAAATTTGAGTGCACCTGGGTGCATTCCTGGGCCTCAAATTGAAGTGCCTCAGACAGGGTTTCATGGCTGAATTTTATGAAATTTCCCTCTTCGACTCCTCCCGCCGATATCATCTTGAGAGTAGCAGAGAGTGTCTTTTGAACTCTACGCCGGGGGCAATACAGCTGTAGTATCACATTGCAAGTGAACTATAGGTATTCTATTATTCTATTCATGCTGCTCAATAGGCACCTTATGTTGGACACAATAGGCACCTACATTTAAGGCACCTACATTTAAGGCGCCCGTAGGCACCCTACATCGGGCGTAGGCAAATGCAAACACTTGAACCGGCGCCTTGTAGGCGAACAAATAAACCAGGGCCTCTTTAAACCCGTAACCCGGGTATAAAAGGGCAGGTCCCAGGAAAATGGCGATAAATTATGCAGCCAAGAGCTCGAGCTAATTTTGAACTATTTCTTCTTCGTATAGCGTAATGAGGTGGACAACCCCTTCCTAATAACCCGTGCAGTTTGGAATTTGCGTGTATGAATGATTCATACAGACGGGCACTTGGTATCGTAGCAACGCGCGTAAACAAAACAAAGCTGGTGCGGCTCATTCAGATATCATCAGCATAGCGGATTACCTTATTCGCCAATTTCTTGATTATCCTTACACAACCATTTATTGAATGTAATAATCTTCGAGTGTATAATCCAATTACAATATCCTGATGTTAGCGATAATCCAAAATAGAAGACATGAATTTAAAACAATGGGATGGATTGCGTTAGCACTGGGTTTCTAGGGGACAGGAGCGCTCGAATTGTCGAACGCAGTGACGTTAAAACTGATAGATTTTAGATGCCCCTTTCCCGCCTAAACCTCGCTACAACTTTACTCCCCTCGAGGTAGACTGATCCGATCGAATTCTCAATCTCAAAACGTTCAAAAATGTTCTGTCAGTGCAAATGACAAAACACTGGACACGAATCGGAGGCTAGGCCGGTAGGACTACGCGAGACGAGAGGAGCCGCGAGTACGTGAGTTTGATGAGCGAGTACGCGTGTTCAGTGGAGACCAACACACCTCACAGTAGCTTACATCGCACGTATGGTATCAAGACAAGAGGATCAGGAGGTGATGATGACAGGCAGGCCTCGGTGGACCATGCTACGAGCCTACAGGTCGCCTACCAATTTGAAAACTCCTAAAAAATCATTATTGTCGGCAAAATATTGGGGGGGGGGGGCTAATTCGATTTTTTGAGGGGCTTAGCCACCCAATAGCCACCACGTGGCTACGGGCCAGCATGCACACACACTAGGGGCGACGGCAGTAATACGCCCACATTATAAATGAGATCAAAATAAAGACATGATAAGCTGATGACAACATACAACAACTTGATTGTAGATCTTACTATTGGAACTTCCGTCATCACAGCAGGCCACTTTCCATGTACGCGTTTCCGACAGCATGGATCAAAAAATGTTCAATTCCACATATCTTTGTAAATACTGAACGGATTTAAACAATTATTGGTCTGCTATTCCTATTATATATTCATCTTTCACAATAGTGTTGTATTCAAGTGATTAGGTATAAATACAAAGTATACCACGTTCTGATACGATCCTTTCAGTCACTACTAAAAACTTTTGTAAGGAGTTCATTCGTTGTAGACTTGGAATTCTTCTATCTTTGTAAATACTAAGCGGAATTGAACCATTATTGAACTATTATTTATATTAGCGATCCATCTATCACAATAGTGTTATAAGTGATTCATCTAGCTTAAACATACATTATGCAAGAGCTAAATCTGATTATTGCAAGTCTTTATTTAGGCTTCAGATGTTATAGAAATTATAAATTAGATCTTCATTTACACACCAAGACCAAAATCAACTCTATAGACCCACGGATGGCTTGGCTTCAGCTTGGATTTAAACAGGATTTCATTGATTGATTAAATTTTTAAATGGCGCCGTAAGCGGAGATTAACCGTTACGTTGACGTCATACTCCCGGAAATTTCAGATCGAGGCTAAATGATAGTGAACAAAGCGAGGCCGCTGTTGAGCGAGGCCGCATGTCAGTCAATTTGATTGAAAGTTCGATATATATACGGCCTTGATATTATGTTTAGCTGTGGTTAAAATGAGAGTTTGGATGTCGGTATTATACGCTCTTTTGTCATATGCGTTTACAGAAAAATTATGGAAATTGATAAACATCGCAGCTAACAATAACATCACCCCAGTTGAATTGCAGCGACATTGGATCACTGTTTGTTGTCTGCTTCGGTAGTTACGTAGGCCTAGCTACCAGCTGTACAAGAGTACACACAGGCTAACAAGAAGTCGGCTATACTTATGCCTCATTGACTTGGTCCATTCCTTTCAAACTTTCGCTTCTTATCTATATATTAAAAGTCTTATTTTTAATTTGTAGTAAAAATAAATGTTATGCGAATTGAATTGCATCCCCGCCGAATAGGCTAACGGTACCACAGCCATTGAAAACGTTACTTGATAATCGATATGATGTAGGTGGAGTTAACGCCTGTCAATCAAACGTTCGGACATTCTCGGAGACGGTGTAGAGGCAGTTGACTCCTATTTCTAGTCAAAAATTACAGTGGTGATAACTTTGTTCAGAATAAAGTAATTTGACTGAAATTTTCAATATATTCTCCTTTCATCATCTATTTTTGAACTGTTATAGCAAGAATGGCCAAATCTCTATTAAAATCTCCCATAATGTATCTTTAATATGGGGCCTGATTACTTTAAGTATTGTCTTAGAAACAATTGATACATAAAACAATAACATCCACATTTTATACAGACAACATTAATTCTAATATTATTGATAAAATAATACATTTAAATATTTATTTTACTATTGGGAAGACAATTGATGTCTAAAGTTATTGATCAGATGAATTAAATTGCGTATAAACAACAAAACTGGTTTTGTTATTTGAAAGACAACAGCTTTGCCTGTCGAAACTATTATGTAATGTCATGATATTTCTCTGGAATTTCAAAATGGTCGAATAATATTAACTTTCTCTTTACATCTTACTTTGAGCGGTAACAACCAATGGCTGCCTTCTACCAATTTCAATTTGTAAGATTATGTAACAAGAAAGATGTAGGCCATTTTCATGCAAATTATTATTAATTAGGCCAACCACATTTTTAACCATTTATTTATGAAAATTTCTTTACCAATAATATTTAATAAAAAAATAAAACATAACTAAACGATTCGCCATTGACATTTACCCCTAAAATATGAAATTTATCATGGCCTAACCCACGTTAGTATGTACTTAGATTGATAATTTAACATTTAATTATGAAAACAAAATCAAAATACCAATGTTAGATAATGTCCCGGCATGGATTCAATAGCGGATTTAAAACATGATCTACCATTAAATTGTTGACAATAAATGGCGGCGAGCTTATAATATAACAGAAAATTAATACATATATATATATTAACACCAACCATAAACATATAATTAATATATATACATGCTAGAAATATTTTATAAGCATGAAAATAAAAGTAACTAAACGATGCGCCATTGGCATTTCTCGATAAAATATGAAATTTACCAAGGCTAAATATGCTAATATGTACTTAGATTGATTATTTAACATTTAATTAAGAAAACAAAATCAAAATACCAATGTTAGATAATGTCCCGGCATGGATTCAATATCGGATTTAAAACATGATCTATCATTAAATTGTTGACAATAAATGGCAGCGGGCTTATATAGTGAGCAGCATAAATCGATGAAATTTTACATATCTTTGTAAATACTGAAAGGGTATGAATCATTATTGGGTTATTATTTCTATTGTAGATTCATCTTTCACAATATTGTAGTTTGCAAGTGATTGAAGTTATTTAAATTGGCGCATCGGGACATTTAGCATTGTTATATTAATAGAAACAATAACATCAACATTTTATACCGATAACAACTTTCATAACGTATACTTAAATAGTTATCTATTATTGATAAAACATTTGTAAAAAAGGACATCTAAATAGTTATTTTACTATGAAGAAAACGTTTGGTGTCTAAAGCTATTGAATGAATTAAATTGTATATATGTAAACAACAAAACTTATTTTGTTATTTAAGAGACAACAGCTTTTGATGACATAAAGCCCAATGTCTTCTAAACATGGATGACATTTTACAGAAAAACGCGTTTGTATTGGATTATTAAATATGTAGGTCTATATACAGCATCGTCTACTATAAGATGTAACAACTAATGGCCAGCTTAAAACTAAAATTAAATCAGGAAGATTGTCTAATAATAAAGATGTAGGCTATTTGCATATTACCTTGCTTCTATGAATATGAACACTTTATTTAACTCCAATAGTAACCCGAAACACATATATAATTCGTTAATTCGTTCGTCATGTTGGAACATTCGTCATCAGTGTAATACTATGTTGACTCGTCCATTAGAACAACGTCCATGGTCAGTATGTTAACTGTATTATTGTAACGTTTGTCGCTAGTGTAACAGTCCATTAGAACAACGTCTATCGTCAGTATAATATTATGTAACATTTCCCACTAGCACGATTCGTGCTACGATTGTAATCGTGGTTTTAATAGTGGCGATCCTATCAGGTCTTATCATATATTGAGGTCAGTCGCTGCAATCGAGCTGATTGTACCGAAACGTATTCGAATGTATCTGCACGTACCAGATCGTCAGTATAATATTATGTAACATTTCCCACTAGCACGATTCATGCTACGATTGTAATCGTGGTTTTAATAGTGGCGATCGTATCAGGTCTTATCATATATTGAGGTCAGTCGCTGCAATCGAGCTGATCGTATCGAAACGTATTCGAATGTATCTGTGCGTACCAGATCGCGAACTTAATAGCGGCAATCTTGTCGTAACGCATCGCACGACAGTGGGAGCATTGCAGTAACAATATGTTGACCTGAATATTGGAACGTCAGCCTTGAGTACGCGTCAGCCAGCATAGATCAAAACATTTTCAATTCAACATATCTTTGAAAATACTGAACTGAATTGAACAATTATTGGACTGATATTCCTATTAGAGATTTATCTTTTACTGTAGTTTGCAAGTGATTCATCTAGCTTAAAATATAACCATTGTTATATTATTAGAAATAATTAATACATAAAACAATAACATCAACATTTTATACCGATAACATTAATTCTAATGTCACCGAAAAAACTTTCAAAAATATATATCTAAATAGTTTATCTATTATCGAGAAAAACATTTTTTAAAACTATATCTAAATGTTATTTTACTGTTGAGAAAACTTTTGGTGTTTTAAAGTTATTGATCAGATGAATTAAATTGTGTATAAACAACAAAATTGATTTTGTTATTTGAAAGAGAACAGCTTTGCCTGCCGAAAGTAAATGTCGTGACATTTCTCTGGGATTTCAAAATGGTCGAATACTATTAACTTTCTCTTTTGCTGAAATGTTCATGCTATTGATGACATCTTACAGAACAGCGTGTTTACATTCGATTTAGTATTTAGGTCTATTACATCTTACTCTGAGGGGTAACAACAAATGGCTGACTTCTAAACAAATTTCAATTTGTAAGATTATGTAACAAGAAAGATGTAGGCCATTCTCGTGCAAATTATTATTAATTAGGCCTGACCACATTTTTAACCATTTATTTATGAGATTTTCTTAAAGAATAATAGTTAACAAAATGATCTAAAAATCCGTTTACTCTTTGTTCACGTTGGATAATCTTCCGAACTCCACGCCAATGGTTAGCAGAATGTCAATTTAATTAGCAGAAAATAAATATAGAAATAATTGAAAAAAATTTACATCAGATTCGCCAGTTTCCTATTCAAGAAAGAAATATATATAATGCTATTGATGACATCTTACAGAACAGCGTGTTTACATTCGATTTAGTATTTAGGTCTATTACATCTTACTCTGAGGGGTAACAACAAATGGCTGACTTCTAAACAAATTTCAATTTGTAAGATTATGTAACAAGAAAGATGTAGGCCATTCTCGTGCAAATTATTATTAATTAGGCCTGACCACATTTTTAACCATTTATTTATTAGATTTTATTAACCAATAATAGTTAACAAAATGATCTAAAAATCCGTTTCCTCTTTGTTCACGTTGGATAATCTTCTGAACTTCACGCCAATGGGTAGCAAAATTTCAAGTTAGCTAGCAGAAAATAAACATAGAAATAATTGAAAAAACTTACCTCAGATTCGCCAGTCGCCTATTCAAGAAAGAAATATAATATATGATTTTATTTATATACCAAAATATTCCAATGTATCGAGAAACAGGTTTTACGATATTGTAATAACAAAACGGTTGTCAAAACTAAACGTATATTAGTCGTTCGGATAGGACGAAAAGGAGAGATCCGGTGTACACATTTGCGTGCCTGTAACATATCCCTTAACAGTTAGAAGTAAGGCCATTTTCATTATAGCACACTGTATGGAGTAAGCCTGCCTTCATCAGCCCAGTCGGTCCAGAAAGGTAGAACGTTAAACCCCTGTCGGGTGAACAAGTGTGATTTTTGAAGTTGGTAACGTTGTCGTTATAAATCAAGTTTAGTTATAATAAATCAGTTTAGTTACACCAAATTCGCGTTGTTAATGCAAAGTGTTATTAATTAGAACCGATCACATTTTTAACAGTTTATTTATCAGATTTCCTTAACCAATGTACATATCGTTATATTGAATTACACGTACAAAATTATGTAAAAATCCATTTTCTCTTTGTTCACATTGGATAATCTTCTGAACTTCACCGTCTATAGATATTTTCTCCACAATATTACAATTACATATATTATTCTATATGTATTGTATAATATTACATATAGATATAGTATTTTAAGTTATCTTTGATCTTCGTGATAATAATTACATGATGTAGTATGTTGTATTAGTATATTCAATCCTGTATAATAATATAATAACTTACCCCTGGTACTCCTCCTCACTATAAAACAAACAAATATATAATATTTATTAACATCAAATATAAACATGATTAAAATACAAAATATAAAATATAAATACATGATCAATAGTGATTAGGTTTTATTGTCTCTGTCCAGTATGATTAATTAATAAATTAGAACAAGTTATTCACTATACAAGAACTTTAAATGTCAACACAATTATTATATTCCACTGTATATTATAGTTAGATGACTTACCTGATATACCCCTCATAGCTATAAAACAGAAAAATTATATATATTAGCATCAACCATAACCATAGATAATTAATATATATACATGCTAGAAATATTTTATAAGCATGAAAATAAAAGTAACTAAACGATGCTCCATTGACATTTCTCGATACAATATCAAATTTATCAAGGCTTAATGTGGTAGTATGTACTCAGATTGATTATTTAACATTTAATTAAGAAAACAGAATCAAAATACCAACGCTAGATAATGTCCCGGCATGGATTCAATATCGGATTTAAAACATGATCTATCATTAAATTGTTGACAATAAATGGCGGCGGGCTTATTGCCTATATAGTGCGCAGCATAATATAATTATTAAATTTCATTTTCACATATCTTTGAACATACTGAAAGGATCTAAAAAATTATTGGACTATTATTCCTACTGTAGATTCATCTTTCGCAATATTGTAGTTTTAAAGTGATTGTGAATTTATTTTAAAATGGCGCATCGGGACATTTAGCATTGCTATATTATTAGAAACAATAACATCAACATTTTATACCGATAACTTTCATATCGTATACTTAAATAGTTTATCTATTATTGATAAAACATTTGTAAAAAATACACCTAAATAGTTATTTTACATTGAAGAAGACTTTTGGTGTCTAAAGCTATTGAATGAATTAAATTGTATATATGTAAACAACAAAACTTATTTTGTTATTTAAGAGACAACATCTTTGCTAGTCGAAAGCTTTATGTTATATAAAGACAATTCTATAGAATTTGAAAATGGTCGAATAATATAAACCTGAAATTTCGTAGCACAAATTTCTCTTTTCCTGAATTGTTCATGCTATTGATGACATAAAACACAATGTCAAGTATATATATAGATATAGATAACATCTTACAGAACAGGGGAGCCACGGTGGCTAGGTGGGTAAGACGCTGGCTAGCTAGCCCGGAGGTCGCGCTTTCGATGCCTATATTAGGGATTTTCAGGCGTAGTTTCACCCCTTGTCAGTGGTTCAGGACGGATGGCCTGACTAGGACAGCTATGTAGTCATTCGGATGAGACAAAAAACCGAGTTCACGTATATATATTGGCATACACGTAAAATACCCCTTGGTAGATGGAATTCGATATAAGAGTAGGCAATAGTGAGGCTGCCAAGGCAAAATTTCCCTCATAGCACAATGTATAGCGTATGCTTGTCTAGCCCAGTCGGAGTAGAACAGTAGGACGTTTTATTTTATTTCTTCCAGACCAGCGCGTTTATATTGGATTTAGAAATATGTAGTTCTATATACAGCATCGTATACTATAAGATGTAACAACTAATGGCCAACTTCAAACCAAGATTAAATCAGGAAGTTTCAATTTTTGTAAGATTGTCTTATAAGAAAGATATTGTTTATTATTAATTAGGCCTGGTCACACTCCTTAATCATTGTACATATAGTTAACAAAATGATCTAAAAATCCGTTTCCTCTTTCTTCACATTGATAACGTTTTAAACTTTACACCTTTGGATGATAGGCGAATTTGAATTTAGATAGCAGAAAACCAATATAGAAATAATTGAAAACACTTACCTCTCTTCCCGTAACAACCTATTCAAGAAAGAAATATAATTTTATTAATTTACAAAAACATTCAAATGTATCAATATATGAATCGTTGATATCGAGAAACGGGTTTTATAATAAATATATAAACTTGGTAATACCAGAAAGTTTGTCATCAGTAATCTTACATTAGTCGTTCGGATGAGACGAAAAGTCGAGGTCCCGGGTGAACACATTTTCGCGCACTTTAAAGATACCTTGATTGATGGAACTCGAAAAAAGTGTAGAACTTGGCGCCGTTGTCAGGGCACATTTCTGTCATAGCAGACTGTGTGGCGTAAGCTGGTTTCCATCACTCGAATTGGTGCAGAAAAGTAGGACGTTAAACCAAATTTCATTTCATTTCAAAACTTACATTTTTCTTATTCTTGTTACAAAGGTACTTGGAAACATACGAGTCTTTCAAATTCAAACTGAAAAGGGATCCTTTATATGCATTGCTCATTTTTACACGATTTGGAATTCGTCGTCATTTGAAAACTATTTAATATGTGAAGTATTTTATCTGTACGATTGTGAATTGATCCTGCTTAAAACAGGCAGTTAAAAAAAGTTCAAAAACAGTATTGTAGCTAATTAGTATGGTTATATAATCTTTCATAAAATATTTCTAGGTAAAAATCTATTTTATTCCTGGTTATTCTATATCACGTGTTTATCTCATGTCTCAATTTTAAATAAATAAATCATAAAATTTTGTAATTACATGAATAGAGTTATTGTGAATATTCTTAGAAATAATTGAAATTGAGGCAATTGATTTATTGCTGAGAGGAATGGAATGAAATGGAGTTTAATGTATTATTTCACCAACCGGGCTAATGAAGAGGGACATACACCAATTATCAAGTGTTCATTTATATGCACGCCAACGTAACCACATGGTCACATTTATGTGAACGTGTATTCGTTGTTGGAAACAGCGTTTTCTTTATAAACGTCAATGATGAATAAATGGTATTCTCTTAATATTCTCTTTCGTTGTAACACCTATGGAAAGCCTAATATTTTACCTTTACACGTTATTTACGTGACTGACCCCAACTTAAACAAACCTTCCGTCTGTCGATAGTTATAACTTTCTGATTGCATCTTCGTAAAGTAAGATTTCATATTTATCAGTTTTATTGTTTCAGACACAACCACTAACATCCAAATCGTAGAAGTTCTGATGTTGATCGCTTGAACGGAAATATATATTGGTAGTTACAGGGTAACAGTGTTCAAATCCACCTCTCCTTCCCTTTCCTCCAAAAGGCCCAAACCAAGGTTCGTTAACGCACCAGCTATCTAGATTTCTAACTTTCTGGTGTGCAACTGACGTACAATTTCCATGTAACATTATTTGAACTTGCGCTATCGTAACTCTACCAGATATCAACTTGTTACATTGGAATGACGCGAGCTGCTTAGACAGGAATATAACTAGAACTTAATGAGCAGTAATACAACCAACCAAGAGTGAGTTATCATATTCGGCCATCAAGTAAAAGTAATACAATTTTAGAAAGTATCCCCAGTTTTGTTAACGGTTTGTAATGATACATTAGGATTTTTTACTTAGTATACCCGCAGGCTTTCAAAGTTGGCTACTCCCTCCCCCCTCCCACCCGTAGATCACTCCTGCAATTATTCTCCCTATTCAATGTACACTAGATCTAGGTTGTGGGAACTTCGGCATAAGTCAAATATCAGATTGATATGGTGCTTAACGTCCACCGAATATCAACTAGACTATGAGACTGACATGTTGCATATATCGCCATTTAATAGCACTCAGAGGTTTTGATTAGTTCGAGGTAAACGGAAAATGCGAGAAACCCACGAGGTTAGTCACGAATCAGCCAGGCCATATTTCAACAAGCCGGCTAATGAAGGGTGGTACATACTATGCAGTATGAGATGGGAGAATTTTGGCCGGATAATCCAGTTATCAACGGTTCTTTTACGTGCACGCCCATGCGTACACATATTATTTATGTCTATTGTGTGGATGGAGTAAGTGTGAATTAAGGGATGGGAAAGGTGGGTGTTATCATACTCGGCCACCAAGTAAAATGGATAATGGAAAATGCACTCTAAAATCAGGTTAATATGATGCTTAACGTCGACTCAACATCGGCTAGACCATTTCGAGGCTGCGTCCGATGAAGGGTGGTACATACAATGCAGTATGACATGGGGATAATCCACTTATCACTTTTATAAGCACACAAATAAAAGTAACTAAACGATGCTCAAAATACCAATGTTGGATAATGTCCCGGTATGGATTCAATATCGGATTTAAAACATGGCCTATCATTAAATTGTTGACATCAAAATGGCGGCGGGCTTATTGCGTAGCGAGCAACATATATCGATGAAATTTCACATATCTTTGTAAATAATGAAAGGATCTGAACTATTATTACGCTGTTATTCTTATTGTAGATTCACCTTTCACAACTGAAGTAAATGAATGTGTTTAAAATGGCGCATCGTGACTTAAACCATTATTATATTATTAGAAACACATAAACCAATGACATCAACATTTTATACCAATAACATTAATTCCAGTATTATTGAGCAAACATTTAAATCGTATATTTAAGTAGTTTATCTATTATTGATAAAACATGTTTTTACAAATACATCTTTATGTTACCATAGAAAAGATTGTTGGTGTCTAAAGCTATTGAATGAATTAAATTGTATGTAAACAACATAACTTATTTTGTTATTTTAGAGACAACGGCTTTGCTACGCGTAAATCTTATGGTATATAAAGACAATTCTATATAGAATTTGAAAATGGTCGAATAATATTAACCTGAAATTTTGTAGCCAGAACATTCTCTTTTCCTAAACTTTTTTTATACTATCGATGACGTAAAACCCAATGTCAAATAAACATGGATGACATCTTACAGAACATCGTGTTTGTATTGGATTTAGTAATATGTAGAGGTCTATGAAAGTATCTTATACTATAAATTGTAACAACTTATAGGAAACATCTAAACCACGATTAAGTCAAGAAGCCTCTATTTATAAGATGGTGAAACAAGAAAGATATAGTCGCATACAGATTATTATTAATTAGGCCTGGTCACACTCCTAGTCGTTTATTTATCAGATTTTCTAAACCAATGTACATATAATTAACACAATTATCTATAAAACAATCCGTCTACTCTTTCTTCACATTCTATAACCATGTGAACTTCACGCCTCTAGATAGCCGAATTTCAATTTAGATAGCAGAAAATAAATATAGAAATAACTGAAACAACTTACCTTAATTTCGCCACCAGACTATTTAAGAAAGGAATATAATTTTATTAATATATAAAATATTCATATGTATCAATATATGAATCGTTGATATCGAGAAACAGGTTTTATAATAAATATCTAAACTTGGTAATACCAGAAGGTTTGTCACCACTAATCTTGTATTAGTCTTTCGGATGGTATGTAAACCGCGGTCCCGTGTACACATTTGGGCGCACTATAAAGATACCTTGAAAGATGGAATATGAAATAAGTGTAGGATTTAGCACCACTGTCGGGACAAATTTCCCCCTTAGTGCATTGTATGGTGTAAGCAGGTCTTCATCAGTGCAGTCGGTGAAGAAAAGTAGGAAGTTAAACCCCGTTTCATTTCATTCCATTTCAAAACTTACATCTTGTTATTCTTGTTACAACTTTTAAGTATACTAATACTAGGAAACATCGGGGGCTCTCAAATTCAAACTGAAATGGGATTCTGTACATACATGTGCATGTAATTCGTCGTCATTTGGTACAAAATTATTCATTAATTCGATGTGCTTTAGGTTATTTCTAACATGCCATTTTTCAAATTAAGAACATTGATTTTGTTGTCGATAGTTATAACAGTTGAACATAACATAAATTAAATCCAAACATGCTTTACTTGTGAAAATAAACTTTTTAATGTAGACGGATATACTCTTGACAAAACAAACCAAAACATCGAAATGAATTAAATTGACACTCTATTGTTCACACAGTTGAAAACTATTTAATATGTGAAGTATGTAAACTGTACGATTGTGAAATTGACCTGCTTACAACCGGTAGTTAAATAAAGTTCAAAAACAGTATTGTAGCTAATTAGTATGGTTATATAATCTTTCATAAAATATTTCTAGGTAAAAATCTATTTTATTGCATGTTATTCTATATCACGTGTTTATCTCATGTCTCAATTTTAAATAAATAAATCATAAAATTTCATAATTACATGAATTTAACAAGAGTTGTTGCGAATATTCTTAACCCCTATCTTTAAAATTAAATGAAATGAAATAGGGCTTAACGTCCTACTGTTCTGCTTCGACTGGGCTAATGAAGACAGACATACGCCATACCGAATTCCCAATGTCAAAAGATCTTTTATGTGCACCCTAACGTGCACACAGGACCTCAGTTTATCGTACCACCCCAACGACTTGACAGCTGTCCTTTGCAGACCCTCCGTCCTGCCCCACTGACAAGGGGGAAAGCATGCTGGAAAATCGCGATCAACTTTCTAGGCCAACACCTAGATCGAAACCGCGACCTACAGGCTAACGAGTCAGCGTCTTACTCACTTAGCCACCGTGGCTCTTCATCATCTTTAAATCTGAGTAATAAACATCAAAACAGAATGAAGGAAAAGAGCCGAATTCTATCGACTAATATACATATTATTTATGTCTATTGTGCGGATGGAGTAAGTGTGAATTAAGGGATGGGGAAAGGGTATGTTATCATACTCGACCACCAAGTAAAATGGATAATGGAAAATGCACTCTAAAATCAGGTTTAATTATGATTCTTAACGTCAACTCAACATCAGCTAGACCATTTCGAGACTGCGGCTGATGAAGGGTGGTATATACTATGCTGTAAGATGTGGGGAATTTTGGTCGATAATCCACTTATCAACGTGACCTCAATTAAAAACCCCAGATTCACCAAGACAGTATACTTCATTAGCTAATCCAGCTACAGATACACCAATATAGAAATTCAACAGCAGCTTACCTCAAGTACCTGTAATAAAAACAATTAATATTTATTATTATTCAAAACATAGAAACAAATCCACAATACTGGAATTACAATTTTTCTATATAATCATTATTTTCTCCACTATATTACAAATAGATAATATTAATTTAAAATTATCTTTGATCTTCGTGATAATAATTACATGATGTAGTATGTTGTATTAGTATATTCAGTCCTGTATAATAATATAATGACTTACTCCTGGTACTCCTCCTCACTATAAAACAAACAAATATATAATATTTATTAACATCAAATATAAACATGATTAAAACACAGAATATAAAATATAAATAAATGATCAATAGTGATTAGATTTCATTGTCTCTGTCCAGTATGATTAATTAATAAATTAGAACAAGTTATTCACTATACAAGAACTTTAAATGTCAACACAATTATTATATTCCACTGTATATTATAGTTAGATGACTTACCTGATATACTCCTCATCTCTATAAAACAGAAAAATTATATATATTAGCATCAACCATAAACATAGATAATTAATATATATACATGCTAGAAATATTTTACTTAAATCACTTTTAAAAACACAAAAATAAAAGTAACTAACCGATGCGCCATTGGCATTTCTCGCTAGTAATATTTTATAAGCATCAAAATAAAAGTAACTAAACGATGCGCCATTGGCATTTCTCGCTAAAATATGAAATTTATCAAGGCTAACCTTGCTAATATGTACTCAGATTGATTATTTAACATTTAATTAAGAAAACAAAATCAAAATACCAACGTTAGATAATGCCCTGGCATCGATTCAATACCGGATTTAAAACATGATCTATCATTAAATTGTTAAAATCAAAATGGCGGCGAGCTTATTGCACAGAATACATCGATAAAATTTCACATATCTTTGTAAATACTAAAAGGATCTGAACTATTATTGCACTGTTATTCTTATTGTAGATTTAATCTTCACAATTCAAGTGATTGAGTAATTTAAAAACGGCGCATCGGGACTTTTAGAATTGTTATATTGTTAGAAACAATTCCTACATAAAACAACAACATCAACATCTTATACCGACAACATTAATTCCAATATTATTGAGAAACCTTTCAAAACGTATATTTAAATAGTTTATCTATTATTGATAAAACAGTTGTAAAAGATACAACTATATAGTTATTTTACTATGAAAAAGATTTTTGGTGTCTAAAGCTATTGAATGAATTAAAATGTAAATATGTAAACAACAGAACTTATTTTGTTATTTTAGAGACAACGGCTTTGCTACGCGTAAAGCTTGTATGTTATATGAAGACAATTCTGTAGAATTTGAAAATGGTTGAATAATATAAACCTGAAATTTTGTAGCAGAACATTCTCTTTTCCTAAACTTTTTATACTATTGATAACGTAAAATCCAATGTCTACTAAACATTGATGACATTTTACAGAACAGCGCGTTTGTATTGGATTTAGTAATATGTAGAGGTCTATGAAAGTATCTTATACTATAAATTGTAACAACTAATAGGAAACATCTAAACCACGATTAAGTCAAGAAGCCTCTATTTATAAGATGGTGAAACAAGAAAGATATAGTCTATTTGCATACAGATTATTATTAATTAGGCCTGGTCACACTCCTAGTCGTTTATTTATCAGATTTGCTAAACCAATGTACATAAAATTAACAAATATATCTATATAATAATCCGTCTACTCTTTCTTCACATTCTATAACCGTGTGACCTTCACGCCTCTGGATAGCAGAATTTCAATTTAGACAGCATAAAATAAATATAGAAATAACTGAAACAACTTACCTAAATTTCGCCACCAGACTATTTAAGAAAGGAATATAATTTTATTAATATATAAAATATTCAAATGTATCAATATATGAATCGTTGATATCGAGAAACAGGTTTTATAATAAATATCTAAACTTGGTAATACCAGAAGGTTTGTCACCACTAATCTTGTATTAGTCTTTCGGATGGTATGTAAACCGCGGTCCCGTATACACATTTGGGCGCACTATAAAGATACCTTGAAAGATGGAATATGAAATAAGTGTAGGATTTAGCACCACTGTCGGGACAAATTTCCCCCTTAGTGCATTGTATGGTGTAAGCAGGTCTTCATCAGCGCAGTCGGTGAAGAAAAGTAGGAAGTTAAACCCCGTTTCATTTCATTCCATTTCAAAACTTACATCTTGTTATTCTTGTTACAACTTTTAAGTATACTAATACTAGGAAACATCGGGGGCTCTCAAATTCAAACTGAAATGGGATTCTGTACATGCATGTGCATGTAATTCGTCGTCATTTGGTACAAAATTATTCATTAATTCGATGTGCTTTAGGTTATTTCTAACATGCCATTTTTCAAATTAAGAACATTGATTTTGTTGTCGATAGTTATAACAGTTGAACACAACATAAATTATATCCAAACATGCTTAACTTGTGAAAATAAACTTTTTAATGTAGACGGATATACTCTTGACAAAACAAACCAAAACATCGAAATGAATTAAATTGACACTCTATTGTTCACACAGTTGAAAACTATTTAGTATGTGAAGTATGTAAACTGTACGATTGTGAAATTGACCTGCTTAAAACCGGTAGTTAAATAAAGTTCAAAAACAGTATTGTAGCTAATTAGTATGGTTATATAATCTTTCATAAAATATTTCTAGGTAAAAATCTATTTTATTCCATGTTATTCTATATCACGTGTTTATCTCATGTCTCAATTTTAAATAAATAAATCATAAAATTTCATAATTACATGAATTTAACAAGAGTTGTTGCGAATATTCTTAACCCCTATCTTTAAAATTAAATGAAATGAAATAGGGCTTAACGTCCTACTGTTCTGCTTCGACTGGGCTAATGAAGACAGACATACGCCATACAGTGTGCTATGAGGGACATTTTTGCCGGACAGCGGCGCTACGGCCTATACCCTTATATCGAATTCCCACTGTCAAAGGATCTTTTATGTGCACCCTAACGTGCACACAGGACCTCGGTTTATCGTACCACCCCAACGACTTGACAGCTGTCCTTAGCAGGCCCTCCGTCCTTCCCCACTGACAAGGGGGAAAGCACGCTGGAAAATCGCGATCAACTTTCTAGGCCAACACCTAGATCGAAACAGCATCTTACAAGCTAACGAGTCAGCGTCTTACTCACTTAGCCACCGTGGCTCTTCATCATCTTTAAATCTGAGTAATAAACATCAAAACAGAATGAAGGAAAAGAGCCGAATTCTATCGACTAATATACATATTATTTATGTCTATTGTGCGGATGGAGTAAGTGTGAATTAAGGGATGGGGAAAGGGTATGTTATCATACTCGACCACCAAGTAAAATGGATAATGGAAAATGCACTCTAAAATCAGGTTTAATTATGCTTCTTAACGTCAACTCAACATCAGCTAGACCATTTCGAGACTGCGGCTGATGAAGGGTGGTATATACTATGCTGTAAGATGTGGGGAATTTTGGTCGATAATCCACTTATCAACGTGACCTCAATTAAAAACCCCAGATTCACCAAGACAGTATACTTCATTAGCTAATCCAGCTACAGATACACCAATATAGAAATTCAACAGCAGCTTACCTCAACACGCTGTAATAAAAACAATTAATATTTATTATTATTCAAAACATAGAAACAAATCCATAATACTGGAATTACAATTTTTCTATATAATCATTATTTTCTCCACTATATTACAAATAGATAATATTAATTTAAAATTATCTTTGATCTTCCTGATATTAATTACATGATGTAGTATGTTGTATTAGTATATTCAGTCCTGTATAATAAAATAATAACTTACCCCTGGTACACCTCCTCACTATAAAACAAACAAATATATAATAGTTATTAACATCAAATATAAACATGGTTAAAACACAGAATATAAAATATAAATAAATGATCAATAGTGATTAGATTTTATTGTCTCTGTCCAGTATGATTAATTAATAAATTAGAACAAGTTATTCACTATACAAGGACGTTAAATGTCAACACTATTATTATATTCCACTGTATATTATAGTTAGATGACTTACCAGATATGCCCTTTATCTCTATAAAACAGAAAAATTATATATATTAGCATCAACCATAAACATAGATAATTAATATATATACATGCTAGAAATATTTTACTTAAATCACTTTTAAAAACACAAAAATAAAAGTAACTAAACGATGCGACATTGGCATTTCTCGCTAGTAATATTTTATAAGCATCAAAATAAAAGTAACTAAACGATGCGCCATTGGCATTTCTCGCTAAAATATGAAATTTATCAAGGCTTAACCCGCGCTAGTATGTACACAGATTGATTATTTAACATTTAATTAAGAAAACAAAATCAAAATACCAACGTTAGATAATGCCCTGGCATCGATTCAATACCGGATTTAAAACATGATCTATCATTAAATTGTTAAAATCAAAATGGCGGCGAGCTTATTGCACAGAATACATCGATGAAATTTCACATATCTTTGTAAATACTAAAAGGATCTGAACTATTATTGTACTGTTATTCTTATTGTAGATTCAATCTTCACAATTCAAGTGATTGAATAATTTAAAAACGGCGCATCGGGACTTTTAGAATTGTTATATTGTTAGAAGCAATTAATACATAAAAGAACAACATCAACATTTTATACCGATAACATTAATTCTAATATTATTGAGAAAACTTTCAAAACGTATATTTAAATAGTTTAGCTATTATTGATAATACATTTGTAAAAAATACATCTAAATAGTTATTTTACTATGGAGAAGATTTTTGGTGTCTAAAGCTATTGAATGAATTAAATTGTAAATATGTAAACAACAGCTTTTCCAATCAAAAGTCTGATGTTGTATAAAGACAATTTTATAGAATTTGAAAATAGTCGAATGATGTTAGCCTGATGTTTCGTAAAACAACCTCCTCTTTTCCTAAATTGTTCATGTTATTTATGACATAAAGCCCAATGTCGACTAAACATGGATGACGTCTTACAGAACAGCGCTTTTGTATTATAATTAGAAATTATACAGGTCTATATACAGCATCGTATACTATAAGATGTAACAACTAATGTCCAACTTCAAACCAAGATTAAATCAGGAAGTTTCAATTTTTGTAAGATTGTCTAATAAGAAAGATATAGGCTATTTGCATACAGATTATTATTAATTAGACCTGGCCACACATTCAACCGTGTATTTATCAGATTGTCTTAACCAATGTACATAAAGTTAACAAAATGATCTAAAAATCCGTTTACTCTTTGTTCACATTGATAACTGTCTGAAATTCACGCCTGAGGATAGTAGAATTTGAATTTAGATAGCAGAAGATCAATATAAAAATTATTGAAAACACTTACCTCTCTTCCTGCAAAAACCTATTCAAGAAAGAAATATAATTTTATTAATTTACAAAAAAATTTGAATGTATCAATATATGAATCACTTATAACTAGAAACGGGTAATATATAAACTTGGTAATACCAGAAAGATTGTCATCATGAGACCAAAAATCGAGGTTCCGGGTGTGCACATTTGCACGCACTTTAATGATACCTTGACAGATGGAATTCGAAAAAAGTGTAGCAGACTGTGTGGTGTAAGCCGGTTTCCATCAGCCGAGTCGGTGCAGAAAAGTAGGACGTAAAACCCCATTTCATTTCATTTCAAAACTTACATCTTGTTAATCTTGTTACAACGGGATGGCCGAATGGTTAGCACGTGCGTGCTGTATCATAAAGCCTGTCATTGAGTCAACTGGCGTGGTTTCGAATCCCCGGTTGTACGTGACAAGGAGTAGGGTCGCCTGTCCAATCTCGTGGGTTTTCTCCGGGTCCTCCGGTTTCCTCCCACTGCTAAAGACCCCTACGCGCAAGCGAATTATTGAATTAAAATTAAAAACCATATGTTAGTCCCGAAATGACCTAGTTTGTGTCGAGTGGACGTTAAACCCATCTCTCTCTCTCTCTCACAACGGTTAAGTATACGTAATACTAGGAAACATACGTGGCCTTCAAATTCAAACTGAAAAGGGGTCCTGTACATGCATTGATAATCTTTACACGATTTTGAATTCGTCGTCATTTGGCACAAAAAAATAAAAGGTTTATAACTGGATGTGGATTGTGTTATTTCTAAGATGATATTTTTAAAAATTATATCCCAAATATAGGCTTTGCTTGTGAACCTAAACGTTCTAATGTAGATGAATATATTGTTGACAAAGCAAATCAAAACATCGAAATGAATTAAATTGACACTCTATTGTTCACACAGTTGAAAACTATTTAATATGTGAAGTATGTAAACTGTACGATTGTGAAATTGATCCTGCTTAAAACAAGTAATCAAATAAAGTTCAAAAACAGTACTGTAGCTAATTAGTATGGTTATATAATCTTTCATAAAATATTTCTAGGTAAAAATCTATTTTATTGCATGTTATTCTATATCACGTGTTTATCTCATGTCTCAATTTTAAATAAATAAATCATAATATTTCATAATTACACGAATTTAACAAGAGTTGTTGCGAATATTCTTAACCCCTATCTTTAAAATTAAATGAAATTAAATGTGGTTTAACGTCCCACTGTTCTGCTTCGACTGGGTTAATGAAGACGGACATACGCCATCCAGTGTGCTATGAGGGACATTTTGCCAGACAGCGACGCTACAGCCTACTCTTATATCGAATTCCTACTATCAAGGGGTCTTTTACGTGCACCTCAATGTGCACACCGGACCTCGGTTTATCGTACCATCCCACTGACAATCGCGATCAACATTCTAAGCCAACACCTAGATCGAAACCGCGACCTACAGGCTAACGAGTCAGCATCTTACTCACTTAGCCACCGTGGCTCTTCATCATCTTTAAATCTGAGTAATAAACATCAAAACAGAATGAAGGAAAAGAGCCGAATTCTATCGACTAATATACATATTATTTATGTCTATTGTGCGGATGGAGTAAGTGTGAATTAAGGGATGGGGAAAGGGTATGTTATCATACTCGACCACCAAGTAAAATGGATAATGGAAAATGCACTCTAAAATCAGGTTTAATTATGATTCTTAACGTCAACTCAACATCAGCTAGACCATTTCGAGACTGCGGCTGATGAAGGGTGGTATATACTATGCTGTAAGATGTGGGGAATTTTGGTCGATAATCCACTTATCAACGTGACCTCAATTAAAAACCCCAGATTCACCAAGACAGTATACTTCATTAGCTAATCCAGCTACAGATACACCAATATAGAAATTCAACAGCAGCTTACCTCAACAAGCTGTAATAAAAAGAATTAATATTTATTATTATTCAAAACATAGAAACAAATCCACAATACTGGAATTACAATTTTTCTATATAATTATTATTTTCTCCACTATATTACAAATAGATAATATTAATTTAAAATTATCTTTGATCTTCGTGATAATAATTACATGATGTAGTATTAGTATATTCCTCTATAATAATATATTGACTTACCACTGATACGTCTTCTCACTATAAAACAAACAAAGATATAATATTTATTAACATCAAATATAAACATGATTAAAACACAGAATATAAAATATAAATAAATTATAATCAATAGTGATTAGGTTTTATTGTCTCTGTCCAGTATGATTAATTAATAAATTAGAACAAGTTATTCACTATACAAGGACGTTAAATGTCAACACTATTATTATATTCCACTGTATATTATAGTTAGATGACTTACCAGATATGCCCTTTATCTCTATAAAACAGAAAAATTATATATATTAGCATCAACCATAAACATAGATAATTAATATATATACATGCTAGAAATATTTTACTTAAATCACTTTTAAAAACACAAAAATAAAAGTAACTAAACGATGCGACATTGGCATTTCTCGCTAGTAATATTTTATAAGCATCAAAATAAAAGTAACTAAACGATGCGCCATTGGCATTTCTCGCTAAAATATGAAATTTATCAAGGCTAACCTTGCTAATATGTACTCAGATTGATTATTTAACATTTAATTAAGAAAACAAAATCAAAATACCAACGTTAGATAATGCCCTGGCATCGATTCAATACCGGATTTAAAACATGATCTATCATTAAATTGTTAAAATCAAAATGGCGGCGAGCTTATTGCACAGAATACATCGATGAAATTTCACATATCTTTGTAAATACTAAAAGGATCTGAACTATTATTGCACTGTTATTCTTATTGTAGATTTAATCTTCACAATTCAAGTGATTGAATAATTTAAAAACGGCGCATCGGGACTTTTAGAATTGTTATATTGTTAGAAACAATTAATACATAAAACAATAACATCAACATCTTATACCGACAACATTAATTCCAATATTATTGAGAAACCTTTCAAAACGTATATTTAAATAGTTTAGCTATTTTTGATAAAACAGTTGTAAAAGATACAACTATATAGTTATTTTACTATAGAGAAGACTGTTGGTGTCTAAAGCTATTGAATGAATTAAAATGTAAATATGTAAACAACAGAACTTATTTTGTTATTTTAGAGACAACGGCTTTGCCATGCGTAAAGCTTGTATGTTATATGAAGACAATTCTATAGAATTTGAAAATGGTCGAATAATATAAACCTGAAATTTTGTAGCAGAACATTCTCTTTTCCTAAACATTTTTATATACTATTGATGACATAAAATCCAATGTCTACTAAACATGGATGACATTTTACAGAACAGCTCGTTTGTATTGGATTTAGTAATATGTAGAGGTCTATGAAAGTATCAATAGTATATAAAAATGTTTAGGAAAAGAGAATGTTCTGCTACAAAATTTCAGGTTTATATTATTCGACCATTTTCAAATTCTATAGAATTGTCTTCATATAACATACAAGCTTTACGCGTAGCAAAGCCGTTGTCTCTAAAATAACACAATAAGTTCTGTTGTTTACATATTTACATTTTAATTCATTCAATAGCTTTAGACACCAAAAATCTTTTTCATAGTAAAATAACTATATAGTTGTATCTTTTACAACTGTTTTATCAATAATAGATAAACTATTTAAATATACGTTTTGAAAGGTTTCTCAATAATATTGGAATTAATGTTGTCGGTATAAGATGTTGATGTTGTTGTTTTATGTATTAATTGTTTCTAACAATATAACAATTCTAAAAGTCCCGATGCGCCGTTTTTAAATTATTCAATCACTTGAATTGTGAAGATTAAATCTACAATAAGAATAACAGTGCAATAATAGTTCAGACCCTTTTAGTATTTACAAATATATGTGAAATTTCATCGATGTATTCTGTGCAATAAGCTCGCCGCCATTTTGATTTTAACAATTTAATGATAGATCATCTTTTAAATCCGGTATTGAATCGATGCCAAGACATTATCTAACGTTGGTATTTTGATTTTGTTTTCTTAATTAAATGTTAAATAATCATTTAGCAAGGTTAGCCTTGATAAATTTCATATTTTAGCGAGAAATGCCAATGGCGCATCATTTAGTTACTTTTATTTTTGTGTTTTTAAAAGTGATATAAGTAAAATATTTCTAGCATGTATATATATTAATTATCTATGCTTATGGTTGATGCTAATATATATAATTTTTCTGTTTTATAGAGATGAGGGGTATATCTTGTAAGTCATCTAACTATAATATACAGTGGAATATAATAATTGTGTTGACATTTAAAGTTCTTGTATAGTGAATAACTTGTTCTAATTTATTAATTAATCATACTGGACAGAGACAATAAAACCTAATCACTATTGATTCCCCACTGACAATCGCGATCAACATTCTAGGCCAACACCTGGATCGAAACCGCGACCTACAGGCTAGCGAGTCAGCGTCTTACTGACTTAGCCGCCGTGGCTCCTCATCATCTTTAAATCTGAGTAATAAACATCAAAACAGAATGAAGGAAAAGAGCCGAATTCTCTCGACTAATATACATATTATTTATGTCTATTGTGTGGAGGGAGTAAGTGTGAATTAAGGGGTGCTGTACTTTCTAACTTTCCAATAAAAATTCTGTTTTCTTCCGACTGCTAAAGACCCCTACGCACAAGCGAATTATTGAAATAAAATTAAACCATACGTTAGTCCCGAAATAAACTAGTTTGTGTCGAGTGGACGTTAAACCCCATTTCTCTCTCTCTCTCTTTCTCTCTCTCTCTCTTTCCAATAAAATGAAATGGGGTTATACGTCCTACGTTTCTACAAATTTCCAATACCCGCCAGAGCATACTAGTATACAAAGAAGATATACAAAAATATAGGTTTGAATTGGCCAAAATTAGAAGATAATTAGGTTGCTGTTTATCGGACTGTTATTGGGCCTTTGATACACATTATTAAACGATTTCTGGGCAAAATATAAATGATATTTTATGACACGTCAGCATCAACCGGAATATCTGAAGTGTATACTAATTTTGCCTCGTTATTTGTGGAGCATCGGATATTTACACATATGAATGGATACTTTCGCATTTTTTATAAGAATATTTTTAAAATATAAATACATTATGCAATTATTTTGAGGTATTTGTTGACACGATAGCACAATTAATCACTTATCTCAAATCAATTGAGATAAACGTATCAATTTATACGACTTTGTGATTCAACAATAAACATGTCTATTACTTCTAGAACATCTGATACTGCTGTTTATAGGTGTCTTGGGTAAGTTCCAGCTGTTGTCATTGAAATATCTTCAATATTTCCAGCATGCAGCTATGTCCATAATTGTGGAAGGAGGACTTGGCTAGGAACATTGTATAATCGTTGGGATGCGACAAAACCGAGTTCCTATGATCAGTTGGTGTGTACTTAAAAGAGCAATCGATGAAGACCAGAAGAAAATGCAGCTCTCCTGACATACTCAGCCATCTATGACATGTTTTTATTAACCCAGTTGGAGTAGAAAAGTAGAACGTTAAACCCCGATTTCACTTGATTTGATTTCACATACATCTTACTAAAGCATATGCGTCTTACTATAAAACACTAAAATACACTCACTTCCATGGATATCCAGTCTTGTTCTTTGTGGTTGTTTTACCAGATAATGCTTCTCCATTCAAGTTGTCAGATGATAGTTTCACATCTTTGTTCTGATTGGCTGCATTTGGGAGAGGCGAACTAAGGACAGAAAGAGGTTTCACGTAGAGTCAAGTTTCGGTGATAATAAGCCTATAATATAACTGACTACTAAGGTCATCCACTTTAATATTACCTGATATCATATATTCAAAAGCACTAAAACAGTTGGTAGTGAACTACCGATTTAGATTCCTTCAGGGTATGTTACAAACTGTTTTGACCAAACTATTGTATCATGATTTAAATAACATGCCTAAAAACAATAATATAATCTTATGTTACCTTTTAATAAATTTATTTGGACTAACTTTCAACTTTAGAGACTTTACACCGATTTAGATTACTTCAAGGTATCTTATAAACTGTTTTGACACGAACGTTTTTCTTACTCGTTATATAAACAATATCATCTTTCATCACACACAATTAAAACAATAATATAATATAATGTTACCTATTAATAGATTTCATCTTTAGAGACTGTATCTCTTCTTGTTGTATATTAATGGAATGTTGCAATCCAGTAATAGTTTTCTTGTTTTCAACGTCCGATTTTTTCAATTGTCTGATGCTTTCTTGTTGTTCGGTAACCTTATCCTGTAGTATATATATCGCTTGCTGATGTTCTTGGATGGTTTGCTTATGTTCCATGTCTGCCTCCCGTAATATGTCTATCGCTTGCTGATGTTCTTGGATGGTTTGCTTCTGTTCCTCCCGCAATGTGCGTATCGCTTGTTGATGTTCTTGAATGGCTTGCTTCTGTTCCGTGTTTGCCTCCTGAAGTGCTATACATTTTTCCTTAATACCATCCAATCTTCGAATGTCCATTCTGGGTTTTTCCCCAACTTGGACATTAGTGCAATTTGTAAAGTGGTATGTTTTCCCTTTCTGTAATATAAAAGTTTGTGTCCTACAACAGTTGATGGTTTAATGTTAATCCTACAACAGTTGATGGTTTAATGTTAATCCTACAACAGTTGATGGTTTAATGTTAATCCTACAACAGTTGATGGTTTAATGTTAAACTATTTCCATGTTTATACTCGAGGTATATAGTACAATATGCAATTTCGTTGATTTCTTTGCCGGCCAATGGTGACCTTTCCCCTACTCAGAAGCGGGTTAATTCCCAGCTGTCCCACAATTGACCACCCAGAAAAGGATTCCAAGAAACCGTTTGATACCGGTTTGTGCTTATACTGAGATATTCATTTAATGTTGATTGATCGTTGCCGATCAATGGTAACATTTGTTATTGGGAATCCTATGGAACATTTTGACAGAGATTTGGGGGGTGTATTTGAGATGTGTTATATAACCAATGTTGGCGCTGTCCCCACACTACTTGTTTTTTGGTTCAGTTTTGTTTTTTTGTGTGTTTGGGTTTCTTTTGGGGTGGGGGGGGGGGGGCATTTCAAATAGAAAAAAATCACGATTGCCATCAAACTATAAGAAGAAATGAAATGATATGAAGATCTATGACATGTCACCTCCAACAGGGCTATCTTTATTGTGCAACAATTTGGGCGAAATATGAGAAAGGCTAAAGTATATCACAAAACAAAATATTTGCATGTGTGAAAAAAATATCAAAATTTGATCCGGTAACCTTTGTAGACCTTTGTTCCCGGTATCCGATAACTGGGCGGACATAATGATATTATATTACACTTTGTTTCAGGGCCCTATTTCACAAAAACTTAAACTAAAATCACTAAAATAGATTTTAACTAAAATCAAACTGAAATTTTAAATTTTATGCGTTTCACGAAGATCAATTGTAACTTAAAATGCAATTTTGATAGATTTTAGTTAAAATTGCTCGCACGGTGCACAATTCCAGCGAGGGTACTTAGGGTGTAAGGAACTGTTGCCACTTGCCAGGTTGAACTAACCGTTATAATACCAAAAAGGGACGTTTATATGTTGTAACAATGTCTGCACATGGCCAGACAGTCGTCGAGAGATGAAATAAATAAGTTTATTGCGTATTATTCGTTTTGAAATGTATCAGTTGATTGGCCTTGAATTTGCACGACTCTTTCGTGACCTTGGCATTTGATTTACTCGCAGGCTTCAATGGAAATAATGAGTATCGATAAACTAAATGGCTTGAATTTCGTAGTTTTATGGTATTTTGGATAACAGAAACTATTGAAAATTGTCACAAACATGTGATATTTCTGAGTCAAACGATTAATCTAGACTAGAGTATTGTCGAATTTTAAAAGTATTTAACAACTTTTAAACTAATAAACGAAATAACCAATGTTCAGATGATTAAATTTGAAATGTCAGTGCCATGACCCTTTCAATAATAATTTGAAAATGCCAAAGTGACACACTCCTTATTGGATAATGCCTATCTATCTTACTAAATTAAAATAATTTTTCCCCAATACAAAATACCCCTGGCTCCTATATAAATCACCATAACCCCAAAACCATAAATACTTTGCATATGGCGTATGTAGTATTATAAGACTGACAGGGTTTAGATTCCCCGGTTGTACGTGACAGGGAGTAGGGTCGCCCGTCCAACCTCGTGGGTTTTCTCCGGGTTCTCCGGTTTCCATCAAATAATATTGAACCATGTGTTTTTAGGCCTACAAAGATATTTTTTTAGACATTAGATATGAAGAGGGTTTAGATTTTTTTTTTTAGGTTTTTTTTTGGTCTATTAATTATTTGAAAATAGTATATTTTATACTATTAATTATTTGAAAATAGTATTTTTATACTTGAATCATATATTAAATAATAACACAGAGTTTTGTTAACTTTGATTTTGAGGGGTTTTTTTTGTTCTTGAGGTTTTAATTTGATGCGTCATCTAATTTCTTATATTGCCTTACAAAAAAAAATGAACGGGTGGGTTGCAGCTATATTTCCCATGCAATGCAAAGAAATTGAATGGAAATCAATTTTTTGAACTTGAACTTTATTACAGGCGAAGCAAAAAGTTTGCTGTGGCCAGTTTGAATGATAGTATGTTTAAATTATATAACCCGGGCCATTGGCAATATTATCATTATTCCAAATATATATATCATATGTCGCAATAGATCTCACAAGGTAGCTCTAATCAATGTTTGTTAATGTCGTGGTTTTATGTTAGGAGAATGTGGCGGCTTTCCTAAGTTAAAATTGATTTTAGTTAAATTGTCTCCAAACTAGCTTTATGAAACGCCACTACAATTTTAACTTATAATATTATTCTAGTAGATTTTATCTAAAATGCTTAAAATCGTTTTGTGAAATGCATCTATCTTAAAGATACATTATGGGAGATTCGATAACGGGTTGGTAGTTCTCACTATAATAGTTAAAAACTAGATAATGTAAAGGCAATTTGCTGAAAATTTCATTCAAATTGATCCAATATGAACCGAGAACTAACCATTTCAAATTTTCGCCTAGCCTCTATCATCATTACTAAAGTCAGTACGATAAACAGCATAGTCTCGATTATTCATTTAATCGTTAAATCGTCAAGGAAAGTTATGCAGTAAATCGGCTCATAATCCACTTAAGATCGCAGGCTAACGATGCCATCTAGAGTTGATTATGGTCTGGATAGGTTAATTAATTTCTAATTAATAATTTAGATAACATTTCAGGCCTACAGAAAGACCTGCAATAGGCAGATTTAGCTCTTGCATATTGTATGTTTAAGTTAGGATGGAATTTTAGTTTAAGACGATTTTAAGGAGATTTAAGTTTTTGTGAAACAGGGCTTAGGTAACAGAGTACACGGCAGACAGGACATGTAACAAATCGTAAATTTTGTTCCTTTAAATTATTGACCTACTTTTGATATCTTGTTCCTCGCTCCACCGCCAATGTTTTCGTCACTACAAGTATTGTCCTCATCAGAAGTATCTACAATGATCTAGAAGATAAGAAAATTTGATCTTTTGTAGACATTTGTTCCCGGTATCCGATAGCCGGGCAGACATAACTGCCTCAAAGTACACTTTGTTTCACGTAACCGAGTACACGACAGACGGGACATGTAAGATATAGTAAATTTTGTTCCTTAAAATTATTGACCTACGTTTGATGTCTTGATCCTCACTCCACCGCCAATATCATCGTCACTAGAAGTATTTTCCTCATCAGCTCCTATGATCTAAAAGATAATTTGTAGACATTCATACAATATTGAGAAATATGTAAACATGGACAGGATTTTAATTTTAATTTTTTAATCATCCCTGATATAAAGCATCACACTCGATTTCTGGTTCGTGTCAATCTTTAGTGACAGATCCTAGTAGATTCCACAAAGATGTTGGCGATTGGGAATTCTATCATTCTTGAAATGTCATCGTTTTTTCAACGGGAAAACAATATTTTCCACTAATTTCGCAATCCAGGAAGGGAAGACAACTCTGCTTGTGATAATGAGTCACTATGAGCTCCGGGGGCCGCCACATTGCTACAACTCATGCACCCGATGACAGCTTGTGGCTGCGAATCCGAATTAGTTCGTGTGTATACAAGGAACAATGTTACCCCTCATCCCTGCCAAATTTAGAATTTATAGTAAAACAAGCCAATCGTATAAGGCTGGTGTCTCCCGTCGCAACCCTAAAATAAATAAATGACACTGAATATTGTACATTTAGCTTTTTTGAAATACATCGAACAATCAAACTGATTATCCATACTTAGTCTAAGCAGAAAATGCTCATGATCGAACCCAGTCAAGGTTTTGAGGTACCTGGTAGTGAAACTATACGCCAAGTTTCATCTCCTCTCTCAATCAGTTAGAATAGAAGTTATCGTGTTCCAAAGCATCGGCCAATGATGCTTACCTTTATTGTTATTCTTTGAACTCAGTCAAGACATTAACATAATGAACACCTGCACTAAGTTTAAGCATTCTACCTCGTTCGAAAGCAGAGGTAGGGTTGTTATGATTCAAAGTTTCGGCCAATCAAATTGCTTATCGCTACTTAGCCTATGCAGACAATTCTCATCATCGAACATAATCAGGGTATTGATATAATGAATTTACACTCTGGGTTCCATCACTCTCGCACAATTAGAACCATAGTCGTCGTGTCCTAAAGTCTCAATAAATCAAATTACATTTCTTTTCTTAACATTAGTGAGAAATGCGCATGATCAAACACTGTCAATGCATCCACTAATAAAAACATGCACCAAGTTTGAACATTATAACTCATTTAAAAGTTATTGTTTTACAAAGTCTCGACCAATCGTAATGAAGTCTCTTCTTAACCTAAGCAGAAAATGCTCATCGTCGAACTTAGTCAAGGTATTGCTTTGATGTAATAAAACTATACGAAAAGTTTCGCCACTATTACTCCATGAGAAATTAAAGATATCGAGCTCAAAAGTCTCGACCAATCAAATTGCTTATGGTTCTGCCTTCCCTGAGAATAATATTTCCATAATGTCCTGTTGCAAGTTTAGAAAAATGTTGTTTTTTATATTGAAATAATAATTGTTAATCATACTCACTATGTGGACTTATCTGTCAAGTTCAATTTTTCTCTAAATGTCATTATTACACAATTCAGTTTTACTTATAACAGTGGGTTAAAAAAAACTATTTTGGGAAAATAAATGCAATATTTATGATAAGTTGACTGTACACCATAGATAAAATTTGCTTTATTTGCTTAATTCTTGGTTAAACTAGTTTATTAGAGCATGCCATTTAGACCAATTCGTTTGAAACCACATCCGTTTTATATTGCTTTTATGTCACATGTCGATAATGAAATTTATAAAATGCTAGAAATGATCCGTCAAATAGTAATTATTCGTTTCCAGTAAAAAAATCAAACCATTCTGCATAGATTTTCGTGTTGTAAACCGTACAACTGTCTTTAATTCAAGAAAGAACCCGGACGGGGAGCCATGGTTGCTTAGTGAATAAGACGTTGACTTGCTAGCCTGGAAGTCCCGTGTTCAATCCCGGTGTTGGCCGAGAATGTTCATCAGAATTTTCCCGCGTTGATCCCCCTTGTCAGTGATGTAGGATGGATAGGATGGAGAGCCTTGCAAGAAACAACGGACAGACGTTCGGGTGTACGAAAATCTGAGGTCCTGTGTGCAGGTGGGTGTACACGTTAAAGAACCACTAACCGGGATAAATTTGCCTCACAGCACATGTCCGTCTTCAGTAGGCCAATCGGAGTATAAAAGTAGAACGTTTAACACCATTTCACTTGTCTACGATATCACCCTTGGTGGAAGTGGACGTAAAATCTCAAGAAACGAACAAACGCCATTTCATGTCATAACCTCAAATATATGCTTGCAAAAATGGCCGAATGTGGGTGTCGATACCGGTCAAAAGCAGACTTATCGAAAGGAACTCCACCTCGAAGGCCACGCCATTTGGCTTGTTGAATTTTCCATCTCATTTCAGTGTGGGAAAATTGCTTTTGGGAAGTGAAAATTCGAATAATTTCCAGATTTAAAGATACTTTAGTTAAGAGCTAAACCTGCCTATTGCAAGTCTTTCTTAAGGGTTCAGATGTTATTAAAGATAGGTTGCCAGGCAACGAAACATATGCCCACAGCAACTAAATCGTCCGGGCAGTCAACAAGGGTTGTCGCATATTTTTACTTTTTTCGGTAATTAAACATTTATAATAAACTAAAATCTGATTAAGAGCAACAACTCACGAAGTAATTATCAGAAAACTATTAGAATTTGTTTGGTTTTTATAAAGTTCTGCCCCATGCTAACGTTTTGTATGCAAAGCTTTTAATATCATGGATTTAACTGTTCAAGTCATAAAAATTCATTGAAAATCAATATACTTGTTCGTCTCAAAATCTTAAACTCTGTGTATCAATCTTAAGTCAATCGGATGATAACTTTAGCCTTTAGAGCGTCACAAGATTTTGCAAAGTGATCAAGGGCCATAACTTTGGCAGTAATTATCGGAAATCGTTGAAAATCAATAGGAATCTTCGTCTCATGACTTCAAACACTGTGTATAAATTTAAACTCAATCGGATATTAACTTTAGCCTCTAGAGCACCCACAAGATTTTTTGAAGTGATCAAGGGCCATAACTCTGGCAGTAATTATCAGAAATCGTTGAAAATCAATAGGCTTCTTCGTCTCAAGACCTTAAACACTGTGTATAAATTTAAAGTCAATCAGATATTAACTTTAGCCCCTAGAGCGTCCACAACCAATTGTTGACGCCGGACCGTCGGACGTGTCTCGATGACAATATACGACCACATTTCAATGTGGGCGTATAAAAATGATTAATAAGACCTTTATTTACATGACAAGCTCAATATCAAGCCTGAAGACCCTCGGATGCCATTTGGCTTGGGTAATGTTCCTCCTCATTTCAGTCTGTGAGTGAGAAAATTGCTTTTGGGAATAATTGTCAGATTTAAAGGTACATTAGTTAAGAGCTAAACCTGATAATTGCAAGTATTTCTGTAGGCTTCTGTTATTTCTGTTATCAAAATTATAAATTAGACCTTCATTTACAAGATCAAGCTCAAGATCAACTCGGTAGACTCCCGGATGGCTTGGATACAGCTTGGATTTAAACAATTAATAATTAAATCAATACATGGCTGACCCGTTTAACTTTTACCATTAGTCACTGAGGTCACTACCGGAGACTGTCGATGAAAGACCTGCCAATCGATGGTACTGTAGCCATTGAGAATGTTACATGATAATCAAGAATATGTGGGTGGAGTTATCATCTGTCAATTAAATGATTGGCAGTTCTCGGAAACGGTGCGAAGACAGTTGATGCCTATTTCTAGCCCAAACGTCCAACAGTAACAATTCCATTCAGAATTAAGTATTTTCTTTTTTTATTATATATCTTTGAACTAATATGGCCAACTCTTTTTTAAACTCTAAACCGATGCATCTTTAAAGTTGACAGAAGTGAAGAAAGGTGTTTATTCTCCATACTCATACTTCTTATAATGGGATTTGGGTGATTTTGCTGCTAGTATTGGATTGCCAATCACTTTTACCCACTGTTAACTTCAGGATACTGAAACTAAAAGTTTCACATGTCGACTGGCAGTGTCTTTATACTGTCCTATTGGAATAACACTACTGATTCACCTCTGGGTTAATTTGATTTTAACAATTTGCTAGCGCTTAGCGATCTTAAGCTATGAGAGGAAACCAGAGGACCCGAAGCAAAGTCTTCCGTGCTAAATCTAAAACCATCGTGAACAAAACTTACCTTTACCTGTGTATTCTCATCGAATACATCATCATATTCACTGCTAGAAATATGATAGTCTTCATTCTGTGATTCAGCATCGATCTGTAATGATATCAAATATAGCAGAAAGATAACCTGGATTGGTCTGGACACCCGAAATTAATTACCCGTATTTCAAGTCTCCGCCACAGCAAAGTTAATACTATTGTACAGACTGGAATATCGAGACTGTGCCAAACACGTGCTTTCTAACAATAACATAGCAATCGGCCCGCAATTTTCATGGTATAATATGGCTCAAAGTACTTAGTTTATTTCAAATGATATGCTTAACGTGCTATCCCTATAGTCTTTGTAAAATAACATTTAACGAAATCTTCTAGCCTGATGCTTTTGTGAATAAATATTATTATTAGGCCTAATCGACTATTTAAGATCTTAATATGGTAAAGATAATTGTGTTATGACAAGGACAGTGCCTAGTCCTTCAGAGGGGCAAAAGTTACAATGCATGGCTGAAACTCAAGAACAAAAAAGATCCATACTAGGGAAATATATTTTACAAAAATTTAACCATGTATATTGGGACTTTCACCAAGTCCCATTGACCTTTAAAGCAAAGCCCCCCCCCCCCACCCCCTCTATATAAGCTTTTAATAATGTGATATAAGTAAAACAGGTGTTAGCTATGACTAGTTGATTATTTCGTGTAAGCATTTATAGATACTTATGTAGTTTATAATTATGACCTGATCTTTATCCCCACACAGGAGGTACTTTGGCTATATATCTAGGCGGTGCCCGTCTGTCCAATTATTTTTACTTTTTTTCTTTTTCTTTTTTTTCGGGGGGGGGGGGGGGGTCAAACCTTGTGTAACTGATGACCATGTTATTTATTTAGTCATTAGCTTTTGGGCTATATTTCATTTCATTTCATTTCAACCTACACCAGCTCTAGTTTTAGCAGATGTTTGGTTTTCCCAGCTTGTGAAGAGACGTTTGGTCATGTAAAATTTACTAATGTTTAACCCATATAGTAAATGACCATATATAATGAACTAATGTTTGATCCGTATAGTAAATGACCATATATAATATAGTTAACTACTGTTTGACCCTAGTTAACTAATGTATTTGACATAGCCTACAGTAAATGACTATATATAATTGATGAAAGTTTAACCCATATGCTTAACCCTTATAGTAAATGACTATATATACGTTTGTAGTTAACTAATATATTTCACATACAGTAAATGACCACGCATAATTAACTAAAGCATGACCTAGTGATTGACCATACGTTATGGCTACCTATATATAACTAACTAAATTATGACCTAGTGATTGACCATACATAATTAACTACGTTATGGCTACCTATATATAACTAACTAAAGCATGACCTAGTGATTGACCATACATAATTAACTACGTTATGGCTACCTATATATAACTAACTAAATTATGACCTAGTGAATGACCATATAACTAAAGTATTGACTAATGATCGAGATACGTATTGTAGAGGTGTTAGTAAATGACCATATAACTAAAGTATTGACTAATGATTGAGATACATATTGTATAGAGGTGCTATATTTCACCGATACAGTATCAGTTATAGGTAGTAGTAGTAGTAGTTGTTTATTAACGTCTCACCAGTTATAAATACATCACATTATAGGTGTTATAGAAACGAGTGTATTTATATTCATCAAAGCATGTATAGTATATGTGTCACTCGTATATAGGTTGTGTGAAGATCGCTGATATATAAACCATTGTATTTATATTGATCAAAACGAATGTTACTTGATCTTTACAATATAATATAAACAATATACATGATTACTTACATCTTCCGACATCTTTATTCCTTACGATAATTAACAGTTTGATTCTTAGCAAGACGTATAGCTATGGGGAACCCCCTATAGTACTGATGCGTATTTCAGGTCTCTTTGACAACACTGCTAATAATACTATTCTAGAGACTAGAATATCGAGACTTTGCCGATCACGTGCTTATAACATAGCATTTGGCACACATAGTTGACTTCGTATAATATGGCTCAACATACTTCGTTTATTTTACATGACACCACCCAATGTGCAATAGCGTTAAGTGCGTTTGGTATTATATCCAGATCAAAATAGACTTTGACTGAAATAATTATAGACATATATTAAATCAATTAAAAGATTGTATATTTCTATATTTTATGTCAATCACAGATTGGCTCAATTAACCAGAATATTATCTATAGAATTGTTTGTTATATTTTAGATCAATCACAGGTTAGCTGAAATAACCAGATAAAACTTTTATCTACAGGTTATTTGAAATAATATAGCAGCAATATATCTTAAATATCTTAAATTTTTATATAATTATATTTAGTTTTAAAGCTTCCTTTCCTTAGGTGTTAACTCTGCTCTATGTCCCCAGTGTGGAAAAACCGATGACTCATGCACTGAAAAGTATGTGGAGTAAGCCTACAAATTATTTCCTCGTCCCGTCCATGGCAATGTTAAAGAATACAGATAAATGTAACTTATGTAGAGTAACACAAATATAGATACAAGACAAGACACAGATTTTATATACAATTGTATTTAGTTTTAAAGCTTCCTTTCCTTAGGTGTTTACTCTGCTCTATGTTCCGAGTGTGGAGAAACCGATGACTCATGCGTTGAAAAGTATGTGCAGTAAGACTACTAATTATTTTCTCGTCCCGTCCATGACAATGTTAAAGAATACAGATAAATGTTACTTATGTAAAGAAACATGAATATAGATATCAATATAATATAGATCTACAAGTTATAAATTAACTGATGTACAATACGAGACAAACCACATACAATTGTCATCTATTGATATACATTAAAAACAAATATTATGACAATATATTAGGTATACATATTTAAAAACGAAAATGAAATGGAAAACAAATAATGTACAGTATACAATAAAAATGTTCTATAGCAAACGGTTGTCATGCAAGATACACCCACATTTGCAAAATATACATGTAGACTGAGAATAGAGAAATTCAATAGGACTCCTATACACTCATTGCCTCATTTTTTCACAACCAATTTTAAAAGAAAATCAGTTAAATATTCAAGATTTACTACTATAATTTAGTCTATGATACACATGCTCACATAAGCTCAGTTTTAAAAATAGTGTCCATATTGGTCAAGGTTATTGTATAGTTTTTGGGAAATATAACACATTGGGAACAATGATCAAAATATACATTGTTTGATATGTTATTTATCTTAATATTCCCAAGTCTACTGTGTATGGCAAGCCAAAGCGGAAAAATTGCAATATACCAAATTAGGAACAATGATCAAAATATACATTGTGTGATATGTTGATTTATCTTAATATTCACAAATCTACTGTGTATTAACATAATAACTCACAGTAAATATACATCATATAACCCCCATGTTATAAGATACAGTGTTAAATAGTGATCATTATAAACAGAAATATAAATTTGTTTGTTCTGTAATACAAGTGTATTTCCTAAATAATGCAAGATTCAAGATATTAACATATTTGTTCAGCTTCATCTGAATCAGACAAAAGTTGTAGTCTCTAGAGAGTCAATATATATTTAAGAAACGCAGGCTTTATGCCATTTATTTTGACTACTGGCGTGCTTTTGATTATATCTTTGGAATAAAATTCATTTTAATTTATCAACATGATAAATCCTAAATTAAATCGTTTATTATAGCTTGATGTGTAATGGACATGTTAAAAAATAATGAAGATACTAATAATAAATGTGAAATGAAATACAGGTAAGGTAACTAATAGTCTTTGTAAAATGAACAATAATGAATTCTTATGAACATAGCTTAATATCATTATTATTAATCGAATATTTAAAATTTTATATAGTAAAGACAACTGTATTGTGATAAGGACTCAACGGTAAGGATGGTCCATACTTTGAAAACATTTATTACAAAAATCTAATCATGGGGGGGAGGGGTGGCTGAATGGTTAGCACGTGCGTGCTGTATCATAAAGTCTGTCATTGAGTCAACTGGCGTGGTTTCGAATCACCGGTTGTACGTGACAAGGAGTAGGGTCGCCTGTCCAACTTCGTGGGTTTTCTCTGGGTCCCCCGGTTTCCTCCCACTGCTAAAATGAAATTGAACCATGTGTTAGTCCCGAAATGACCTAGTATGTTAAACCCCATTTCTCTCTCCCTCTCTCTCTCTCTCTCTCTCTCTCTCTCTCTCTCTCTCTCTAATCATGGATCTTGGATCGGATTGACCTTTATAGCCCAGCCTCACTAAATAAAGGTTAAAATATCATTTCATTTCAACTTAGATCAGCTCTATTTTTAGCAGATGTTGGGTTTTCCCAGCTGGTGGTGCACCCGATTAGATTTTATTACATACTTCGAGAAGGTATTTGTTGAGTAATAAAACCTTCTAGTAGTTTATCGAGGGCTGGCCGTCCTTACCGCATGGTACAAATAAAACCTTCTAGTAGTTTATCGAGGTTCGGGTGCTTCCGGAGTCCAAAATGGCCGCTTTATATAAATGAGAATTTTGGGGATAACTAACCCGAACCCTAACCCTTTTTAAAAGACCATATATAAAATGAAATACTAATGTTTGACCAGTATAGTAAATGACCATATATAATATAGTTAATTAACTAATGTTTGTCCGTATAGTAAATGGCAATATAGTAGATGACCATATATAATGAACTAATGTTTAACCCATATAGTAAATGACCATATATAATGAACTAATGTTTGACCCCTATAGTAGATGACCATATATAATGAAGTAATATTTCACCTGTATAGTAATTGGCTATACAATATATTTAACTAATGTTTGACCCTAGTTAACTAATGTATTTGACATACAGTAAATGACCATGGCTACCTATATATAATTAACTAAAATATGGCTGCCAATATATAATGAACTAATGTTTCAGCCATTAACGTATTGTATAAAGGTGTTATATGTCACCAGTATAGTATTAGTTAGAGGTGTTATAGTTAGAGTGTATATATCCATCAAAGCATGTATAAGGCGTTATGTGTCACCTGTATACAGGTTGTTTCAAGATCGCTGATATAGAAACCATTGTATTTATATTGATCAAAACGAATGTTACTTGATCTTTACAAAATAATATAAACAATATAAATGATTACTTACATCTTCTGACATCTTTATTCCTTACAATAATTAATACTTTGATTCTCAGCCAGACATGTAGCTATGGGGAACCCCCTATAGTGACGACGCGTGTTTCAAGTCTCTTTCACAACACTATTAATATTATTGTAAAGACTGGAATATCGAGACTGCCAATCACGTGTTTTCTCACAAAGCATTCGGCACACTTAGTTGACTTTGAATAACATGGCTCAACGTACTGCGTTTATCACAAATAACATCACCAAATGTGCAATAGCGTTAAGTGTGTTTGGTATTATATCCAGATCAAAATAGACTTTGACTGAAATAATTACACCTGTGTATTTTATTACGTACAATTTTTATATTTTAGATCAATTACTGAATAGCTGAAATAACCAAAGCAGAATATTATCTATAGAATTATTTGTTATATGTTAGATCAATCACAGGTTAGGTGAAATAACCAGATCAAACTTTTATCTACAGGTTAGTTGAAATAATATAGCAGTATTTTATCTAACAGATAAGATTTTATATCTTAAATCAACCAAAATAATACTGTGCATACACAATTTTTATATAATTATATTTAGTTTTTAAGCTTCCTTTCCATAGGTGTTAACTCTGCTCTATGTTCCGAGTGTGGAAAAACCGATGACTCATGCATTGAAAAGTATGTGGAGTAAGGCTACTAATTATTTCCTCGTCGACGGCAAGATAAATAAAGTGAATGGAAGTTATGTAGAGTAAAGCGAAAATATAGATATCAATATAACATAGATCTACAGATTATAAATTAACTAAAATAAAATGAAATGTTTTACGACACGTCAGCGCCCAACATATGATTTACAATGCGAGACAAGCCACATAGCGTTGCTACCTATTGATATACATTAAAAACCAAAAAGAAATGGGAAACAAATAATGTATACAATAAAAGGGTTCTTTAGCAAGCGGTTGTCATGCAAGATACACCCACATTTGCAAAATATAGACTGAGAATAGAGAAATTCAATAGGACTTCTATACTCTCATTGCCTCAATTTTTCACAACCAATTTGAAAAGAAAATCAGATGGACAGGGAATAGAGATGTTCAATAGGACTCATCCTCCCATTGTCCCAATGCTCCACAATAAATTTTAAAAGAAAACCAGTTAAATATTCAAGATTTACTACTATAATTTAATCTGTGATACACATGCTCACATAAGCTCAGTTTTAAAAATAGTGTCCATATTGGTCAAGGTTATTGTATAGTTTTAGGGAAATATAACTGATAATTATAAACACAAATATAAATTTGTTTGCTCTGTAATACAAGTGTATTTCCTAAATAATGCAAGATTCAAGATATTCGTTCAGCTTCATCTGAATCGGATAACATCAGTAGTCTCTAGAGAGTATATATATATATATTTGGGGAATGCTCACTAGTCTGCGGGTTCATTAATTAGTCGTCTATTATTAGGGTTGGGTTAGGGAGAGGGTTGGGTTAGGTTTGTTGATACCTATATTTATAGTATTTCTTATAGTTGTGGACTATAGTGAACCCTTCTCATATGTTTAAGAAACGCAGGCTTTATGCCATTTATTTTGACTACTGCCGCACTTTTGATTGTATCTATGGAATAAAATTCATTTTAATTTATAGACATGATAAATCGTAATTTAAATCGTTTATAGCTTGATGTGTAATGGACATGCTTAAAAATAATGAAGATACTAATAATAAATGTGAAATGAAATACAGGTAAGGTAACTAATAGTCTTTGTAAAATGAACAATAATGAATTCTTATGAACATAGCTTAATATCCTTATTATTAATCGAATATTTAAAATTTTATATAATAAAGACAACTGTATTGTGATAAGGACTCAGCAGTAAGGATGGTCCATACTTTGAAAACATTTATTACAAAAATCTAATCATGGGGGGGGGGGGGCTGAATGGTTATCACGTGCGTGCTGTATCATAAAGTCTGTCATTGAGTCAACTGGCATGGTTTAGAATCGCCTGTTGTACGTGACAAGGAGTAGGCTCGCCTGTCCAACTTCGTGGGTTTTCTCCGGGTCCTCCGGTTTCCTCCCACTGCTAAAGACCCCTACGCGCAAGCGAATTATGAAAATAAAATTGAACCATGTGTTAGTCCCGAAATGACCTAGTTTGTGTCGAGTGGACATTAAACCCCATTTCTCTCTCTCTCTCTCTCTCTCTCTCTCTCTCTCTCTCTCTCTCTAATCATGGATCTTGAATCGGATTGACCTTTATAGCCCAGCCTCACTAAATAAAGGTTAAAATAGTGTAATATCAATAATATATTGTTGAACCGCCAAATGATTCAAGATAATAACACAAATATAGAACATGTTAGTTAGTTATTTTACTTATAAGAATTTATAGATAGCTTATGACCTAAATTTTGTCCCAGCTGTGCCAAGTCTGACCAATTTTTTTTTTATTTGTATGGACTGCCACTTCAAATTAGGGGGTCAAGCCTTTTGCAACTGATGACCATATTATTTGATCATTAGCTTATGGGTTATAATATCATTTCATTTTAACTTACATCAGCTCTATTTTTAGCAGATGTTGGGTTTTCCCAGCTGGTAAAGAGACATTTGGTCATGTAAAATTTACTAATAGTTTAACCCATATAGTAAATGACCATATTAATGACCATATATAATGAACTAACGTTTGACCCCTATAGTAAATGACCATATATAATGAACTAATGTTTGACCTGTATAGTAATTGGCTATATAATATAGTTAACTAATGTTTGACCCTAGTTAACTAATGTATTTGACATACAATAAATGACCATGGCTACCTATATATATAATTAACTAAATTATGGCTACCAATATATAATGAACTAATGTTTGAGCCATATACGTATTGTATAAAGGTGTTATATGTCACCAGTATAGTATTAGTTAGAGGTGTTATAGTTAGAGTGTATGTATCCATCAAAGCATGTATAAGGCGTTATGTGTCACCCGTATACAGGTTGTTTCAAGATCGCTGATATAGAAACCATTGTATTTATATTGATCAACACGAATGTTACTTGATCTTTACAAAATAATATAAACAATATAAATGATTACTTACATCTTCTGACATCTTTATTCCTTACAATAATTAATACTTTGATTCTCAGCCAGACATGTAGCTATGGGGAACCCCCTATAGTGACGACACGTGTTTCAAGTCTCTTTCTCAACACTATTAATATTATTGTAAAGACTGGAATATCGAGACCGCCAATCACGTGTTTTCTCACAAAGCATTCGGCACACTTAGTTGACTTTGAATAACATGGCTCAACGTACTGCGTTTATCACAAATAACATCACCAAATGTGCAATAGCGTTAAGTGTGTTTGGTATTATATCCAGATCAAAATAGACTTTGACTGAAATAATAACACCCTTGTATTTTATTACGTACAATTTTTATATTTTAGATCAATTACTGAATAGCTGAAATAACCAAAGCAGAATATTATCTATAGAATTATTTGTTATATGTTAGATCAATCACAGGTTAGCTGAAATAACCAGATCAAACTTTTATCTACAGGTTAGTTGAAATAATATAGCAGTATTTTATCTAACAGATAAGATTTTATATCTTAAATCAATCAAAATAATACTGTGCATACACAATTTTTATATAATTATATTTAGTTTTTAAGCTTCCTTTCCATAGGTGTTAACTCTGCTCTATGTTCCCAGTGTGGAAAACCGATAACTCATGCATTGAAAAGTATGTGGAGTAAGACTACTAATTATTTCCTCGTGGACGGCAAGATAAATAAAGTGAATGGAAGTTATGTAGAGTAACACGAATATAGATATCAATATAACATAGATCTACAGATTATAAATTAACTAAAATAAAATTAAATGTTTTACGACACGTCAGCGCCCAACATATGATTTACAATGCGAGACAAGCCACATAGCGTTGCTACCTATTGATATACATTAAAAACCAAAAAGAAATGGGAAACAAATAATGTATACAATAAAAGGGTTCTTTAGCAAGCGGTTGTCATGCAAGATACACCACATTTGCAAAATATAGACTGAGAATAGAGAAATTCAATAGGACTCCTATACTCTCATTGCCTCAATTTTTCACAACCAATTTGAAAAGAAAATCAGATGGACAGGGAATAGAGATATTCAATAGGACTCATCCTCCCATTGTCCCAATGCTCCACAATAAATTTTAAAAGAAAACCAGTTAAATATTCAAGAGTTACTACTATAATTTAATCTGTGATACACATGCTCACATAAGCTCAGTTTTAAAAATAGTGTCCATATTGGTCAAGGTTATTGTATAGTTTTAGGGAAATATAACTGATAATTATAAACACAAATATAAATTTGTTTGCTCTGTAATACAAGTGTATTTCCTAAATAATGCAAGATTCAAGATATTCATTCAGCTTCATCTGAATCGGATAACATCAGTAGTCTCTAGAGAGTATATATATATATATTTGGGGAATGCTCACTAGTCTGCGGGTTCATTAATTAGTCGTCTATTATTAGGGTTGGGTTAGGGATTCGGGGAGTGAATTCGTCCACCGATATCTATCAATAAGGAGAGGGTTGGGTTAGGTTTGTTGATACCTATATTTATAGTATTTCTTATAGTTGTGGACTATAGTGAACCCTTCTCATATGTTTAAGAAACGCAGGCTTTATGCCATTTATTTTGACTACTGCCGCACTTTTGATTGTATCTATGGAATAAAATTCATTTTAATTTATAGACATGATAAATCGTAATTTAAATTGTTTATAGCTTGATGTGTAATGGACATGCTTAAAAATAATGAAGATACTAATAATAAATGTGAAATGAAATACAGGTAAGGTAACTAATAGTCTTTGTAAAATGAACAATAATGAATTCTTATGAACATAGCTTAATATCCTTATTATTAATCGAATATTTAAAATTTTATATAATAAAGACAACTGTATTGTGATAAGGACTCAGCAGTAAGGATGGTCCATACTTTGAAAACATTTATTACAAAAATCTAATCATGGGGGGGGGGGGGGCTGAATGGTTATCACGTGCGTGCTGTATCATAAAGTCTGTCATTGAGTCAACTGGCATGGTTTAGAATCGCCTG